GGGGCAGCTAACAGGAGAATAAAATGGATCATCTCTATGGACATACATAGAGCTGTTGGTCACCTTGCCAGTTAAGCTGATTAAATAGAATAAACCATAAAGTCCCTATTATCAATATTAGCATTTCCTCTAGTTCCTGGTGCCAAAGCTATTGTTTGGATGTCATTCATATCCAACTACACATATCATATAATTTAGTAAGGAACTTTAAAAACAGATCCTTTAATACCTTTCCATCAGCAAGGCCAAAGATGATGTTTTGGTCTGGAGGCCAGATTAAGCAAGTCACAGCACTCTGAAAGGAAAAATAATAATACAGTAACAAAACATGGCTGCATTAGGAAACATTAAGCGAAACAGGGTCCTTCATGATTAGGAAATTGAACAACTGCTTTACCTTTCAAAATGTCCATGCTGTTTATCTATAATGTTTGAATAAGTTCTTGTGATACTCACTGTTTGAATAAACTTGTTGCAGATGACTTTCTTCTCTCCCCTGAAAAACGAAATTTGTAAAAAAAAAAAAGACATGTTAGGCCACACCAATTTAATTTGTTGGTTCTCGGATTTTTTCAGAAAAAATATGAAGCGACAGGGCGAAAAAAAATAAAAATAAAAACAGGTCTAGGTATCCTATTATAGCCCCAAATGCTACAATATGAGCCATGAAGTAAAAAAAAAGGCTGGGTTAAAATTTAAAGTAGAAATTTTGAACTTTTAATCAAACCAAGCATTGATAGATGGATAAAACTGTAACAACTAGAGGACAAGGACTTTCCTCAACTGTTGGGGGCAAAATATGAGCATTTTTGAGTTGATTCAGAACCAGAATCTTTTTTTTTTTTTGCAAATCAGAAAAAAATGAAGAGGCGAATCCGAGAACCAACAAATTAAATTGGTGTGGCCTTAGCTGTGAAGACATAAATTATGTTACATGTAGATGTACATGTATATCAGAAACATACAACATTGTTATATCAAAGTGGACCATCTTAACACATACATGAAACATCTGAAAAGTAACATGTACAAATGTGTATGTTCAAAATAAAACTTGTGATGTATTGAACTTTCATCACTTATGCATTATCAATATCATTAATTAACTGAAAAAAGGCAGATAAGTGACTGAAAATTCAGGTGAAATTGTGCAAATGTGATTATGAATGTGACACACCATTCTTCTCCAATCTTGTACACATAGATGATGTTGTCTGTCTGTCCCACTGCGATCTTGGCAGAGTCAGGGGAAAATGCCATGGCCTTGACCATGTAGCTTTTCTTGCCAAACTGGGGAGACAAATCAGATACAAGTTAGTAAATGAAAGTGGAAAGTGAACATGATCTCAAACCAGACTAGCTCAAATGAAGTCAATGAACAGTTGGGCTAACTCTTCAACTGGTTGTGTACAACTTTACAAGATGGATGATGAAAATAACAAAAACAAGAAGCCATAGGCGACAATTCTCCGTGAAGTATTATATATTGCAACAAAAAGAAGTAGCGATTGGCGACAATTCTCTGTGAAGTGTGATAAATCGAACAAAGAAAAATTGTTTAAACGCGTGTCGGGTCAGTCATCTTAAGACGCAACAACCAATCAGAGATGCGAAATGCCGACACGTGACGCGAGAATTTGCATACAGTCTAAACAACGGGAAGGGCGCGCGATGCCCGAAATATTTTTGCGTCAATATTCAGCGCCGTGATTCAAGAGATTAATACCCGGAAACAATTTCTTTTCTTGTTTTGAACGCATAAACATGCATTTACGCTAATCTAGTATGATTCAGGGTTACTTTTTTTTAACCTGCCATGGCCAGATTATCTAAATATGTGTGTATTGTGTGTACAATCTACAGAAAGAGAAATGTACATCAGGTCCGATCATCCGATTTTCACGTTTCGGTTTTTTGGACTCGGTTCATGAACGTATTTTGGTTTGGCTCCTGGAATGTGTGAAAAAGATAACTCCCGGGACTGTCTACAGGGAACACTCGCACATTCGCGGTGTATCAGGACAGCGCGACTGGTCGGCATTAGCGCAGTCCCTGCAATTAGTAACAGTTGCACATCAATCCGGCCGAAAGCATGATTGTGTTACACAGGCTACTTCTTCATATACCGGCTCATACTACAAGACGCCTTTACAACTAGCAAATCATAAAATTACCCGATCTACTAGTATGTGCGGTTTACCAGCCCCAGACCACATCCGACCACGAGGCAGAACACATTGATGGGTTGCTCAAAAATATTGTCCATGTTTACAAAGAGGTGCTCCACTAACACTATGGAGCGGCCCAACCCAAAAATATTGGCCATGTGTACAGCATGCTCGTTGCTAGGACGACAGGCCAGTTGCTACGTGACTAAATACACGCCGCCACTAGGTCGCCACAGCCGACCAGTTCGAAATCGATAGGATTACGTCATCGGTATTTACATTTCGTAATGCTGACCACTGACCACCCCACATTTCCGTCCCCATCAGCTACCGGTCACATAAACGGACGAAAACATTTCAAAGAAATGGGGATGTTTCGAAAATAAGCATTTACTCCAATATCAAAACAGCTACGGTAAAAATAAAAAGACGTGCATCATCCCGGACATAATGCCACACCACATGCGAAATTACACAGAAATGCGACGTACGGAAGAATGCGTTTTGGCTGCGAACATCTTCAAAAAAACTTGCCATCTCTTAACCATGGGCAAAAACATCTGGAACCACTTATCAAAACCACCCCGTATCTGCATGAAGTTCCACCCCCCCCACTGCTATTCCAAACAACGCGTTTTTCCGGACCATTCCAATTCGCCTCGTAATTGTAGGGGTGCGTCTGCAATATTACATTGACCGCGAAAGCAGCAACGGCAAAAATACGCATTCGTGCATCAACACGGGCATGCCCGCAGACGGCGTATAAAATTGCGTGCCGATTACACAAAGAGAACCCAGTGTTTTGACTGCGAACATGAAAAATCAGCCGATCACAACACTCCGTCCGGAGGTCCTGACCTCCTTCACGGAGTAACAAGTCGAAGAGTTCTTCACCGACCTTTGAGTCTGCAGGTTTGGTGGAGAACTTGTCCCTCTTCTCTCCCTGCTCATCGTACAGAAGCACGACCCTGTCCACGGTGCACACGGCCAGTTTGGCATTGCTGGGGGACCATGCCAGGCACATCACCTTCCCTGCACCATCCTGTCAACACATCACCAACAATCAAAGGACATTTCATAGGTGATAGAGTAAGCCAATGGTAAGGGTTTGACAAAGTTGGGAAGGAAAGGCCGTGTTTCAAAGTTTCAATATCAATTTTGAAATGAACAAGGGTGTCAAAGTCTTTTCACTGAATGGAATAGAAATAATTGAAATAAAAGGTAGGGGAAAGATCTCTAACATTTTTCATAGAGTAACGTTAGCGTTAAATTATATATGCATATGCATATGGCAGACATAAACTTGTCGATAGACAGCAAATAATTTACTAAAGTAAAGCGATATCTGTAACTAAAGCAAATTTGGACATTGAATCTTCATCCCAAAAGTTTCTGTTAATGCCCATCAACAAACGTATAAGGAATGTTAATCAAAAATACAAACCAGGTCCTGATCGATGGCTTCGTTTTTCGTCATGGAAACAGAGCCAAACGACGCCCCCCTCCCCCAAACTATAATACAGTATAAAACAGGTCGATCACTAAAAAAAGTGAAGTCTTGAGACAAACTGTACCTGTGGTGGGAGCAGGTTCTTCATATGCTTGAGTTGCATGTTGAAAACTTGTCTGGTTTCCGAGGAAATCGCAGTAAATCCCAGTTGTCGTCAGTTTGTACACATCTCTTCTCCCGGTTGAATTTCGTCGCTGGAATGTTACTTCAAAACGAGGCTGGTTTTGTGAATGACCCGAAATGGAAAATTTCATCTTTTGAAGGGGTGTCGCGAATAGCACAAATTATATAAACCCCTTACATCCAGCAATCTATACCTTTTTATTCACAAAAGAAGACAAACATATCGCATAAATTTTACTGTTTACAGATATAAATCTCAAAAGCAAGTAAAAAGTGTTTTAATTGATACCTGAATTGCTGATACTATTGAATGGAACCTTCTGTTGACCTTTTCCTCACACGGCTATCGTCTGACATGCTAACGTGACGATGTGGGAAGTGAAGATTTGGTCAGTATAAACGTAACTTTTGGCAAGCACTAGCCTTGACAGGTTAAAGGAGGGACCTAACATAACTGTAATTTACCTGTTGTAGTTAACGTGACCAGCGCAAACGGGACGGGGCGGGAAGATTTTGTTTTTAGACGACGCCATGTGGCGGGAAAATTTGTATTTTGATGCATGATGTCTCGAACTTAGCAAGAAATATATTTACCATAGCCTTGATTTAAAGTTTTATGCAACACACTGATATTTAGTTTGAACGGAATGATAGTTCTGTTGTAGAAGGATAGAGAGACATGTTACTTACTTAAACATGATTTTGTGAAAAAAATTTTCTTGAATTTCCTGTTACCTAGCCTGTTACACACATTTGCACAACTTGGATAATCTCCCCCGCTGATTTCAGACGTACTGATAAGTCATGGCCAGTAATGACAATAATAGCTCGGTAGAAGAGAGGACAGCAGAAGAGGCAGTGACGGTGCCCCCCAGCAATCCAGTGGACATGGAAGCGGCATCTCAGGTAGTAACACAGATCTTTCTATCATGTGTGGGTCTAGGTACAACCGCTGATAATGTGATTTTGACAAATTGACATTGTTTTGTTTTGTTTTGTTAAGTAATTATCTGTCTATTTCTTCAGGCAGATACCCGAAAGCCTCCAAACACCCTACAAAGCAATGGCAGGCAGAGTTCTCCCACAGTACCACCAACAACTGATGTGAACAGAAACAGAGTTGAAGCAAGTAAAGCTGACAGATCACTCAGTCAGACAGGGTCTGCTGTCATTGGGAACCTGTGCTCCGCTGAAGGGGTTGATGTCATGGATAAAGATGAGGACATTGTGATGATACCTCAGGGGCAGATGGAGGAAGAGCAAGACAACCATGCTGTGAACAAGGTTTAGAATGTTACATATATAGATTGGCTTGTAAATGAATTCATGTTTTTAAACACATTGTCAAAAGTTGCAGCTACTTTAGTACACCACCACAGTATGTAGTCTGCAAGTTTCTTAAGGAGATAGCAGAGTGTTTGTACATCTATGTTATATAAGTTATAGATGAAAATCTACTAGTACTATATAATTACTCTATAATTACTCTATAATTGCAAGAGTTATCTTCTTTCCTGTTGCAGCTGGGTTCAAGTGAACAAACAGAAGAGGATCTGGTCATCTTAGAGTCAGGTGAAGAGGGAGAGGAAAAACTCAGTCATATGCAAGAAGCTGAAGATGACATAATCTCAGACCAGCTGAAGAGGGATGAGGAACTTGCCAGACAGGTGATGGCAGTTTGTGAAGTTCTTATTTTTAGTACTATTGTAAATAAAGGATTAGTTTTGATCATGGTCACGTGTTTGTAGATGAAAGCATCTCACCAAATGGTTCACGGCAGACTTTTAGTACCAGCAACGTCAGGCCCAATAGTACTAGTAGTTGCACTGCCATGACCAAACATGGTTTAGTCTTTCTGACAATGTGAATATGCCAGTGTCTACCTACACCAACATATTGATAATTTGTGACTTCTAGTGTATCTTCTGTACTAGGTTTACCTTTGTGTTCTGACCTGGCATAAGCTTGTTGCCTTGCCACATCTTGCCAAATGTAGTTGCAAGCAGAAGATGAGAATGACCTGGAAGCAGCCAGGAGAGCACAAGAAGAGGAGGATGCCCTGCTGGCTGCTAAACTCTGGGAACGGACCAACTCTGGCACGGAGGAGGAGGGGGAAGATGTCATTGGTCTATCAGTATCAGATCATGACAACGTTGTCCCTGTAACAGACAGTGATGATGATTCTGTGATAGTTACACAAGACATGCAGATGAAACGTGATGAGGAGATGGCCAGGCAGCTACAAAAACAGGTGAATTGTAATCTGTGTAACTTGCAATGTTAGCCAACTGCACAAGTGGCATAATGTTGTTCTTGTACTAACCTAAAAAGGCTAAATAGATCCTTGTCAGACTTCATTGGGGGAGTAAACAATAGTGCAAATGTAAACATGTCAATGGTTTTGGAGGATGATAAGCTAAGCAATAATGACACTGTTAACGAGGGGCATAAGTGACAAGTAAGTCTGTTTTATATCTTATGAGTAACAAGACTTTTGCTGCCCAGCTGGAGAGATCTGACCAGGACTCAGACAGTGATCATGATGTGCAACTGGTACAAGAGTTTGAAGATTCCCAGCTGGCCAGAGATCTCAGCCACCAGGTTTGATAGAGTCTACATTATATTATTTTATGTCACTCTATTTACATGCCCAACTAAGAAAGTTTGTATTCTATTCAATTCTTATTTCTGTACCTTACAGTATCTCATGGACTTTTACTTATATCCCATTGGCTTCCATAGAATAATTTGATAAAATTTTGTTTGCACTGAATTTGGATGTTGGGATAATATTGTTCTTCCAACTTTTTGTCTGGTGCATTTTGCAGTGAAATTTGTGTATTCTTGGGTTGGTATGACATGAAAAGAATACAATGTGGTGTATTCCCCATAAACTCCAGTCCGAGCCCCACTGGCAGTCAGGTTTGTACATGTACCAGTCCTGTACTATCAGGCAATTTACATGTAACAGTTAACAACAATGTTTCTATCACTACAGGAGGCATCAAGTTTTTCCACTGTCACCAGTGATGGTCGGCGCATGACTGCATTGGAAAGGATGAAGGTGCAAGTGGAGCTCAACAAGAGGGAGAAGGAGAAACAGAAAGCCAACTTTAAGGTTCAACCTGTCATATCAATTCCTGTTACGGATTGTGAAATGTGAATACTGATTCCCATGTTTTGGAACTTTTATAGTTTGCCCACCAAGGCTTGTCAAAGTATCTTACGTCAGAGAAACCTTTACAGAATTGTGGTGACTGGTTTCAAATAATAGAGATGATCTCTACATTACAAGGCTAAAACACTTGCCCACAAAAGTGATGGAGATGTTTGAAATTTTTCATACCTTCAGAAAAGGTGCAGCAATCAGGTAGCGCATGGACGTCAGCAGGTGCAGCAGCTGCAGAACACACCTGAAAGACGTGCTGCACTACAGCAGGCGCAGAGTGGTCTCAACCAATGGATGAAGTACAAAGGTACATCTTACATGTGTACATGTATTGTAGATTGCCAAGCTAATGAGCCCAATTTTGTCAAAATTGCCTTCAGTAACACTAACACAGTATTGTACAAAAAATTTGTTTGAAATTTGTGGCAGCTGATTTAGTCATACTTGGTAATGGCATGTTCTTTTTTCCTCAGGATATGCATGAAAGATTTGATTTTACCCAGTAAAATTGGACAACAATTATTACAGATTTTTAAAAGAATTTCAGATACAATAGGTTTTTTATAAACATGTAAACAATTTAAGTATTGATGTGATTTTTTCAATGCTGTCTTTTTAACTGTCCCATAGCACCATGGGAGAAAGGACACAGGAAGAGGAACCTGATGCCCAGACAGACTATGGATGGCCCAATCCCCTGTCCTGTCATCAACTGTGCTGCCAAGTTTGCCACACCATACATGCTGACTGGTGAGTTCTCAAAATTCTCACTTTACTGGATGGCTTTTAGTCAATGGGTGTATTGGGTGGCTTTTAGTAAATGGGTGCATTTGAACCATCTTTAAGGTCAAAATGGATGAAACTTATTGTGTTGTACTTACAGTTATACTGTTGTACATAATTGTTTCAACCGTGAACCTCAAACATTGCGAAGACCTCCTTTCCCTCCTAGTGCAAAATAAAATCCACCACAGAGCTAAATGCCTTTACAGTAGAATGTTTCTGACACACATGTTGTACTGTTGGACTCTTCCCCAGCCCACATGGAGACCTTCTGCCACTCCCCATGTAACCCCACGGTGACCTTACAGCTCAGTGAGAGTGGTGGGCTGGACAAGTATGCCTGTGTTGTCTGTGGGAAGTGTTTTCTGGGACGTACTGCACACGACCATCATGTAGACATGGCAACAAGGAACCCTAAACTTATGGTAATTGACAATTCCAACAAATCAATCAAATCAATTACATGTATTGACATACATATACTCAGTCCTTCTGCATATACTGTCCTTGCATATTGTAAGGTCCAAGGCTATTTTTCACACCCAGTGACCTAGAAACATGTATGTAGCTTAAAGGCTTCATAGGTTGTCAGTTGTTGTCTACATTAAAATAGTAACGTTATATTTTCTAATTCCATTTCCTGCCAGCACCACTGGAGGCTGCCAGGCGTTCCTGTGCTGTGCTTTGCCTGTCCAGCCTGTGGGCTGTGCTTTGGCAGGTCAGAGGAATGTCTGGCACATATCATGGAGAGGAGACATCAGCACTATCCACGTGAGTAAGGGAACACCAACATTAAAACATACAGGTTAACATTATGTAGTCCATAAGTGGCAATGACAAGAGGTACTTTCCTTACATGGCTTTGTTCATGTTACGGTGGTTTTACCCTTGGATGATAACAAGATTGACAGTTTTTTCAGCCTACTTAGATGTATGTATGCTTTGAAGAGTTACTTTTTACTGAGAAATATCAACTAGCATTTCTTTACTTCACAGATATCCAACCCATTCCCCTCACAAGAAACATCTACTTGCAACTGACTTCAAAGTGTGAGCAGGTAAAGTTTACTGTAAAGTGTAACATGTGCCGAGCTTCATTCACCAGACACTCACAGATCCAACGCCACTATGTAACCAACGGATGCAATGGCAGTCCAGTAGCTACTGCTGAAAAGTCCATCCTTGCAGTGTTGAAGGAGATGGCACCGATGTCTTACTGTGCTGAGTGTAACATCCCGTTCACTTCCCTACAAGCTGCTTCAACACATTCACAGAACACCCACAGTGGGACCGGACGTATCATGAAGCTACTACAGGACAACCTGGCCCTGCTGTTTCTTACCCAGGGATGGCAGGCAGAGACAACTGGGATGAACCGAAAGCAGACAACGTGGCCCTGGCGAAGACTGGCTCAGCCTCTTAAGGCTGTTGGCAGTAAGATAACTGCAGCAGCATCTTCATCAGCCGTGTCTTCCCCTTCAGCAGCCAGTGCACGTCCTAACATTCCCGATAACATGCAAGGCAATCAGGTGGTGAGGTTCCCTTTTCCCCAGGCTTCTACATCTGGTGTGCCCAAAGCACCCAACTCGTACCCTAGGCCTGGGAGTCAAGCTGTACCCATGGGCCAGCTTCCATTCAACCAAACTGTCAGATTCCCACTACTCCCCAGGTCACCGGCTTCCACTGGACCTCAGCTGAACAGGAGATTTCTGGACATGCATAGATCTGGTGTTAATCCTGCTGTTAGGAACCAGCTGACAGGAAATGGTACCACAGGAACCAAGAGGTGCAGAAGTGAATCAGGGGGAGACAGGTCAGCACTAGTGCCACCTGCACAGACATTTCCCAGTATGACAAACAAGAAGAAGAAGAAAGCAAAGCACCAACAGATGAACTCACAGACTTTTGTCATGTCACCAGAAAATATCAATGCTCCGGGCCCTGTTGCAAAGAAAACAAAGCATGATAATCTGTCATGTTTTGCACAGACCACCTCAGGTCCCAGTGGTGTTGTGACTACAGGCCTGGGGACCACAGCTCCTCCTGCCTCCAGCAGCAGCAGTGTTCCTGACCCTCCAGAAGATGTCCGTCATGTCATCTTTGTTGACTTTGACAACTGGGCAGGATTCTTCAGCAGGTTACCTCAGCCCCTGACTGACAAGACGTTTGTGTATGGGTTCAAAGGAGGTAACAGTGTGTGGTGTCCCCCTCGTAACAACAGGGCGTATGACACTATCATGAGCAGGAAGTGTTTCTACCTCCACCCACAGTGCTCCAACAGAAAAGATGCAGCTGATTTTGCCATTTGTGTGCATGTAAGTATAGTTTTAAAAAAATAATTTAGAAGATTCCAAAGCCTTTTGGATAGCTACAGATGGTACTTTTTATTATTATGATTGTGCAGTAAGGCATGGGGTGCAGGAAAAATGTTGTGTGTCAGAAATAGATTTATGTTTATGAACTTTGTTGTTTACTGCATTGTGATGAGATTAAAATCTTTGCTAAACTAAGTCATTATGTTACAGGCTGGTCGGTTGGATGAACGTATCCCCAAGTGTGTGCCATTCACTGTACTGTCGGGGGACGGAGGCTTCCATGAACTGGCCAATCAGCTGCAGCGTTCCAACCGGCGCACGCACATTGTCAGTCCACATCATCAGGATGCTGACATAATTCTGGCCACTCTGAACAGCATTGGGGAGACTTGAAACAGTTGGAGACAAAATAGTATTACATATTCTTGCTTGTTTAGTTACCATTTTGAGAACTTTATGAGATACAGATATGGCCACAGCAACTAAACATTTTTGTTCATATTCTAGAGGAGATTGTTATTCATCATACTCCTTGATCTAACTAACTAGCCTTGTTCATATGCTACCCTTGTGGAGTTTGACTACCTACATGTAGTTATTTGCATGATATGTACACATTCCTCAAAATCAAGTATATAAGGTCACCTGACAGCTTTGAATAGGTGACTTTGCTAACACTGGGATGTTATGTTCTTTAGAATAGTTGTTGATATTTAGAAGCAGTTTTTCAGTGTTTCATATATGTTAAAATACGTTGGATTATGTTATATCTATTACTTTTTCCTTGAACCATTGCCAATATTAATGTGACAAAGATATTTATACTGTTCAAATCATTCCATCTGACAGGGGACTCTTCAAGCATTCCATCCAGACTGTTTATATTGGTGTATACCTTTAAAAGAATTGTACTGGAACCATGCAGTTATCATAAGCTGCTTCAGAAAACTGATACGGCATGACCTGGCAGTTAAGTACTGGTAACCATTACTACATCAGAAATGTTCATGATTTTTCAAAAAGAGAAAAAAAAGTTATTAAAATGCAAGGATATTTGTGGTGTTTTACTATAATGATTGTTAGTAGACAGGTGTTATTTTCTTTTTACAAATCTTCTTGCCAACTGTAGAGGGTGAGTAAAAAGTACATTTAGTTATTGAGCACGTCTGTTGGTAACAGTCAATGTCCTTTTTACTCACCCTCTTCCCGTTATGAACTTTTCCCGGAAAAAGTCCCTGCACGAATGGTCCCAGCGCAAGTCATGTCCTGATTGTGAGTGTCTTTACAGTTGGAAGGAGTTTGCTAAAATCACAAGGCCGACGTTTACGGCATTCCTGAAGTTGCAATTAGCCCAAATATACCATCGAGCTATGCCACATTTTAGTATTTCTAGAAACCAATAGCTAGAGCACACCGAGGCACAGTTTATAGATTTTAGATTAGCCATGAAGTTTTTTTAATTAGTAATCTCGTGAGTCATATCCTGACTTTTTGTGGTGTGTGTGTGAGTTGACTAAGGGGAATTCCCCTTCTCATGAGCCACACTCATTATTGGATATCACGTGACTGACCTGCCGTATGTTTACCCGCCCGTGTGAACTCTGTACACCTGATGCCGCCGGTGTAAAATACCAGACTTTTATTTCCGCCCACCTTTGTACAATCATACGTATATATACACTCCCGGTGCAGGGGCAAGTTGAGTTACACCCTGTTGTATAGCGCTCGTCATGGGATGTCCCACGCAGTCCGCCCACTGGACCGGCAGGAGCCGTAGAATGGACACGGAATCACACCGCCAACACTTGCCAGCCGGACTTTCCCCCGCGTCGCCTGCCCGGTTCTGGGAACCCCCTACTTGTAGCGCCCGGCCCGTGGAGTCCACAGTTCGCTGTCTCCCCCTGGTTTCAGACAGCGCTGTTTTCAACGGTACGTTCAACACGTCCACAACTATTCCGTCCGACATGACAGTATCTAGGCGGCCTGTATTTCCTGAAGGCCTGACCATTGCCAGGCGACGGCTGCACCAGAGTGAGAACGTCAAACTCCCACCGAAAAACGAAGGCACTTCGTATCGGCGTCAGAGACAGATATCACACCTACACCTACAGTGGTAAGGAGTAACTCAAGTGTAAGACCCAGCCATGACAATATCACCACGGACAAGAAAACGACTAGTAATTTGAGCGTCAAGGAAGAGGCGGGGCCACAACTTCGCCCACAAGGTGAGAATATTTCCGATTTACCAGGTCGATCAGTAAAACATTTAAGGCTCAGGTGAACAATGGTGTACAATTTTGATTGTCGATGCATGAAGAACAAAATTGAGAATTGTATAGAGCATATGCGCAGTGTTTTGAAAGAGGGTTGACCGGACCGGCACTTGCGGAAATAGATGATGTTTGACGATCTGTTTCAAGGTTAAACATACAGGTCTCACAACAAACACATTAACGTTATGGTGTATGTCAATTGAGATACGGAATTTCGAATTTACACCAACAAATGGCTTATCAGCGTTATCCTGTGGGTATCAGCAGTAATGGTTGTTATGTTATAACGACAGCAGCATAACGCATATATTCTGAAAACAAGTAAAGATCGGTCCTTTTTCAATTCCACAAACTCGTGAAATATATTTATATCCTCAAATGAAGGTCGGATGCCGCAAATCTCATGTTACTATCATTTGGTTTTCTTTCCTCGCAATTTTGTTCAGTACTATATAAGAAAACTGTAGTGGTAAGTGGCAGTGGTATCCTAAGTTAAGTCTTATCGCAGTCCAATCTACCGATATTCTCTGTATGGGAAGTTAGAAAGTACAGCGCTGACGATGGGACATCCCTGGTGTAACGTACGAAACCATACCGTGAGTCATAGCGTGCTCCAGCGTCACTTCTCGAAATCGACCGTGAAACTCGGACTCTGTCCAAAATTAAAACTCTTATAGAACCTCAGTATGTGCGGATTTGTTTTGTTCCGAAGAACGTTATATTTTTTAATACGTTCTTCCTCGTCAGGTAATGGGGCAGGCCTGTGCCTCAGGCGCACTCTTCAGTACTCTCCAAGCAAAGGTCGAGCTTTCTTTTCACGAAAGAGAGCCCGATAAATAAGCATAAAACATGCAACTACACAAACGCCACTTTAAAGTGACGAAAACTTGTCGTTTGAGCCACTGTTATTTTATAGTAGCCATATCCACGTCTTGCTGACTATCGGGACGTGTTAAGACTAGCCCGTATTCTCCCCACATACAAACATGCCAAGGACTTGAGTCATTATGCCAGCGCACTACGAGTTGGGCACCAGGCTAAAGTTACATTGCCGTTGGTCTTTACTGGGTTGCGGTTAACAAGGTGTGGTATGCATTGGTACTGTGAATACACTGTACGCGTGATAATGAGGTTTGGGAGTGTCTCAGGTCGCAACTGTCGATCCTACCCGCCTCTGCATTGCCACACCTAGTCCTAGGGGAGTAGAGAGGTCGATGGGGTTTGCATCGAGACTTGACCCTGAAATCAAGCTAGTACGTAAGTTGACCGAAGGCACCGACTGTTGAACTGAGACATACACGCACTAATACACAATGCACACACTACACTGCACTCCCGCAGACATGTTCGCACAACCTTGTATTTGATGTTTCTTTTACCGCCAGAGGGCATTATACATAACCGCCGAATTTGTGCTTTTGTCTTTGATTGTAACAGTATACATGTCTGAATACCCTGCTAAGATAGAAAAAGACGCGTTCACAAAGAAATTGAGGAAAAATGAATGATAGCAAATTTACTTAAAGAAACACTGTTCTACATGAAAGTTGATTATTAATTAAAAAAAAACGGAAAACGATGGTAGGAAAAAGAAAATTACGAAAACTGTTTCCAAAATTTTCCAACATACCCATTGTCGCTATTCTAGTCCCCCGCCTTTTTCTGATGACCTTTCTTTCCAAGAAATTAACCAGGAAGCGGAGGCGCGTGTTTAGGGTAATTGGCCCTATTTGTGCGCTGTTCTGTACCCTGCACACGTGTACATACTCTCTGGTCAATACGTACCTGAACCGTAATTTCCCGCAAATTTTTATTCATGCTATATATGTAACGTTATATTACGTTCAATCCAAGGTAGTGTTGCAAAATGTACTACACAGTTTTGCTTCTTCAAATCCACAGTAAGCTGAACCCAATCATCGAACATCATACATAATTATGGGTTCACCACACCACGAAGTGGTGGTGAACCCATATTGCTTTTTCTGATGTTTCTTCTCCTTCTTCTTCTTCTTCTTCTTCTCCTGCCATTTTTTAAATGGATTCAGCTTCTTCATTTTAGGGCCTAAGGTCCTGAAATTTGGTATGGAGGTACAGTGGGCAAATACCCCTAGGCGTTTTTTAAATTTTTGTGATACAGGCTTTTAGAATGGTTTTATTTGAGTTTTTTGGCTGTGTTATAGCAAATGTATTACTGTGTTAGTATGCCGTGTTTACCACGTCTGGGCATGAGTCATCACAATGGAATGCAGGGCATCAACCAATAGGCATGCAGCTTTCCTCTATACTTCTTGCTGATTGGCTGTTGGGATTTAACTTGATTAACACCTGCACAGAGCATTTCCATACTGACAGTATGTCTTTATTCAAGTGTTTTGGTAGGTATTTCAAGCTTTTCTGCTCCAGCATTGGAATGCGGGGCATGAACGTTTTTTTTTTTTGAAAATCAACAGTTTGCATTATGCAATTAAAAATCCTAACCAATAAAGTAGGGAATAGCTATCCAACTGTTGTTTTAGTTGTATGTTACTTCATATTATAGTTATATCAATGTAAATCATTGTTTTCCCTTGTGTTTCTCATTCTTTCCCTGCCATGTCGTAAAATGTGGTGAAGCCATCGCTGTATTTGCTCCAAAGCAAATATTGGCCTTTCTAGTTAGTTTAGGATTAACTTAGGTTGCCTACGGGCCAGGCGATCAGCTTTTAAGGAAGCATTCCCAATTACGTAGAAAGTTGCTACATTTATATACATGTACATATATATTTATGTAATGATGTTTATTAAGAATATCTGTAGACGTAAACTGGTTATACAGGTTTTCACGGGTAGGTTTTAAAAATTGAAAAACGTGATATCGCTATCATTATATGACGTCTCATATACACAAACACAAGGCTTAACCATGTTTGTCAAAGACAGCGCGCAAATTAAATAGTTTTGCTGATTTTCCATGAGGAACTGGTACCGGAAAAAAACGCAAACAAACTTATCTAGTAATTTGGTATGTAATTGCTGTTTACAGACGCGATATGAATTTGGGGGAGGGGGTACTTCAGTTTACGCATGAATAGCAAGTATGTCGGCCCGTATATATAACACATCAGGAAACACCTAGAGTACTTCTGAGTCATTCCCTTTTCATGACCTTAGCAAATTGCGGTTTATAACATTCGGGAATCCCCGTCCGTACACGTGAGTAGTGGTGAAACCGACAGCTGACAGACGACTCCTGACTGTCGGGGTTTTTCCGCGTGTGTCAGAGAACAGGACGCACGTGTAGCACAGGACGTACGTACACGCCAACGTCCTCGGCGCGCGGGGAACCCCCTTCTTTTCTGCTTATCTGTGTATAAAAGGACATCCAGGCTTGGTTTCCCAGTCATTCTTCCTATGATGTCCGAACCCATAGCTTCGTCACTGCCAAGCTTTACCAGAATGCCGGCCCAGACTATGCCTTGCCTACACGACCTTTATACGCTCTACTACCCTGACTATCCGTACTTCCACCAACAGTGGGCTATGTTTTACCCCACAGGTGCTGAAGAAGCGAGACCGCCACCCGTCCACACGGTACCTAGCACACTGGGTCGACCACACGTGCCCGTTCCTCTTAGTCTTCCTGTACCAAACTTCGTGGACCAACGCCTAGGCGTCTTCGCACCAGCGGAGCTCCAACAACTTTCTTGGCAAGACGAAGATGGTGATACGTAAGTGTTTGTTCAGAAATGTCTTTATTAAAAAAACTTGAGGCAGAAGTTCACCATTTCAAAACATGAACATTTGTAGTGAAGCAAGTTCGTTTCCTTACATCTGCTATTCTGTTAGCTATGTTGTAAAATAGATCATGAATGTTTCATGAGTGTAACCAAGAAGTGTAACTGTGCCCGGACAAGCTTTAGCCTACACTAGTACAAGACGTGTGATTTACAGTTAATGATGTTGGACGTTTCTGATCGAAAATGCTAGAATCGCTACTCGGGCTTCTCAACTTGTCCAAAGGACTGATACTCAACAGGAAGTGCCCAGGGTGTCCTGACTCAAACTAAAGTTAACCTGATGACTCAGCTAACACGAACATGACGAGCTTTCTTCCCTGGAACTGACCGGAAGTCCATTGAGCGATCCGTGGTTTGGCCGGGTCAAGGTTCAACTGTAACACAATAATCGAAACGGCATCGGATCTGGCGTCCGACGCTTTCACATAGACACCCAAGATCGATCACGTTACTGTTTCAGTCGCGTTCTCCTTGGGTGGCGAAATCATCGATATACCAGTGCTGAAACTACTAAGACAAAGCTTCTAGATCTAGAATGATCTGAAATTTACACATAGGTTGAATATATACCAGTTCTCATGGAATATTTGGTATAATCATTATCAACATTTTTGCAATTTATTCGAGAAAAGTGAATTCTTTTCATCGATTCTATGAAGGGTCCCTCTGATTCTCATCTCAACGCATGATTGTCTTAAAAACGCGAATTCTGGGAGGAAGACTTGGATAGCCACCCACTAGTTGGTGACTCACAACTCCGGGTGTGCATGCCTTGTGGGCCGGGTCGGGACAAATCACGGACAATCTCCTCTGAACAAGCGCTATGCCCACAAGAAAAAGGGAAACAAAATAATCTGACCCCTCAAGTCCTTCTTCTGTTCGAAAGCACATAGAAATTAGTGTTTGCAATGTGTTTGGCAGAATGCTTTGCTTATATAGTATTCAGATATTTTAACGCAAAGCTAGCGCTCATTTCGCATATCTAAGCTTCCCTTATTGACGTGTACATAAGCTTGCACACTTATTCTGAACAAAGGAGTAAACTCCGCGGGAATAACTTCTGTTCCTTAACTGACTATTGCAAAGTAACGATTGCTTGAAATATTCCCATTCCTTTTCACTGAAAAAGCTTCATAGAAAATCTTGAAAACTACAGTATTGAATAAATTATCATCCAACGTCTACATTTACGTGACCGTGAACATGTATACGTGAGTAATACGGAAAAGTGGAACGATGTCGTATCTCATGAGGAATATACGATAATCCAGTTTTCAAGGAAGTGGACAAAACCAATCTCATGCAACTTTATTCAAAATGTAATTGCGTAAACGTCAAGGTTAAATTTTTCTTAGGTAGTTCCGTGTTTCCTTTCAGCCGCATCCACGTGCAAGACGCACATGTCCCGGTCCTAGTTCTGTATCAAAGTTTTTATAACAATAACAATAATAACCTTTATTGTACATTCATGCCCTACCGGGCTAAGTACAGGTGAACAGATGAAATAGGTAATATACATGTTTGTTGTACAAACAGCTCTAAATCTACTCTAATACAGAGGTTCGGCTTCTTCTCGTTTCTTTGTGATGTTAAAAATATAATTTGAAATGGGTTTGTATAATACAGGATGATCAAAGCGCATAATTTATAATGACGCGGGTGGCCCTGTTTTGGTTACCGCAGTGGTTCCGTCTCATCCAGGAAAAAAGTCATGCCATGTTACGCGACACTTCCACCTCTACCAGACTTCAAAAGCGGCTGGAAAGAGTAGAAATTGGCCAAGTAGACAGATAATTAATAACATACCAGGGGAGTTTGCCAGCAGACTGTACCCCTTTAGCGGACCAACTCCTCTAGTATGGTACCTGGCTAATTGGGCAATTTCTACTCTTTCCAGCAGGTTTCTGAAGCAGTATACTCGTAGCGGCTAGCTGTTCCTCATCGTCTCGATAATTAGCCTAGCTGCACGCAGCTACTAGTAACATGTTGTTCTGCTTCCAGATGTGCTTTTACCCGGGAAACAACCGCCCGGACACTCACCTATGCCTCAGTTACATTTGTTACCAAAGAGAGGATCAGGAAAAAATAAACCACATAACGTCAATCAAATAAAATATTACACGAAATAGGAAAAGGAAGTGGCGGCTTTGGCTGTTTATCTCATAGAAACAATATTTTGTCAACCCGGTAATTCGTTCTAATTTTGGGTAGTTACTTAAGTCTGTTAGATAAAATTGCCAGTCAAAACCGAAAGATACAGAAAAATCTTGCCATGTGAGTCCTGTTAAAAAGCGCCTTTTCTACGTTACTGCCTCTCTATTATGCGTGAACAATATTCGTTCCTGGAATTGAAATCGGCATGTTCCATTCCAGGAAACCCCAACAATCGTCCCACGGAAACAATGTCAGGCTCGCGCGCAATGGTTCCGGTTTCTTGTTTTAAATACATACTCCGATCTCGTCCGATATGCCTGTTTTCCTTTCATTTACACGGTTTATTTATTTATTTATTCAACGTGAAAACAAAAGCTTGCCATTCTCGAGTCATGAGATAAGTAATAAAAACGTGACGTAATTGTAAAGCAGGTAACTTTCCTCAAAATACCCAAGCCTTTTTTAAGAACACGTGCACTAAGGATAAAGGAAATTGATGGTCTCATATCGGTGTATTGACAGACCCCTACACATCGCCGTGGCCCAGGCTAACGTCCCGCTGACGGAGAGGTACCTGACACTGCTGGCCATGGCGCACAGGAACATCGACATCTACAACCACCTCAGGCAGGTATGGAGCAACCAGACGCCATATCTGGACAGCAAGATAGATATCATGTCCCTCGGTTTTGGTTATGTTTTATTGAGTTGGATAGACGGAAAGTTTTGTAATTAGCATTAGGCACGGGTTCTAGTTCTATAAAACACCCACGCTTCAAAATGTGCAATTCTCATCCCTTTTTTGATGTTTATTCTTTGTATTGTTTATTATCTATATCAATAATTTTTTCTCCGGTTATTTTCTATGCAGACTCCACTACACTTGGCTGTTATAACAGAACAATGGCCTTTGGTGCGCATGCTCGTTCTGAGCGGCGCATGCGCAGACGTGCAGGACAGAAACGGGCAGACGGCGGTGCACCTGTCGTGCCAGACCGCCAGCACGGCGTGCTTACACACCATCCTCACCTGCACCACACGGGAACTGGACCTGGAGCTCAGGAACTACGACGGTAAGAACAACAGGTTTTATTGAGATTTACCACATTTGTGGAAGGATTGACATAACATTTGACTATCATCTTTTCAAGATGTTGACCCGGAAACCGGAAAGAAAGGTTTGACCCACTCTCACCTGGAAAGACCCCAAGCCCTACTCTTTTCAATAAGCGTGGTGGGGTCTTTAACGTGGGCCCTCCTCAAACATGACTCCCTTATAACGTCCTTTAATGAAGGCTACCCATGTTCACTTGAATCTTGTGAGGAAATAGGTGTGTTACGAGTAACAGTAACTTAACTTAATTTTTTTACCATTCCTTGTACCGATTGGAGGGTCATAAAAAGGGGGATTACAACACAACCGTTTTCTGTCGTCTTTGTCAGGCCTGACACCTCTGCACGTGGCCGTGAACACGGGGAACCAGGATGTCGCCATGTTACTGGTGGACAGCGGCGCAGATGTCGATGCAACGGTAAGTGACGGGATAGGACATGCTTGGGGTTTACTTGAGATTTTTTTTGTCGTACATCTAGACAAATGTTACAACGTTACAAAGCGATCACACAGATAATTGTTTCTGTATCTTCAGGACGGTAAGAGCGGCAGAACGGCGCTGTTTCACGCCGTGGAGAGAGACCAGGAGGACATGGTTCTGTACCTTCTCCGCGCAGGCGCCAAGGTGAACGCACAGTGCTACGCGGGAAACACCCCCCTGCACGCCGCCAGTGGACGAGGCCAGCAGAACATGGTCAAACTGCTCATCAAGCACGGGGCGGACATCGGCGTCAAGAACTCTCACAACGACACGCCACTGGCCGTGGTCAAGACCAGAGTGGTCAGTGTTTGTCCTGGGTCGCTATTAGTAACCATATTTTCCGTGTAATTTCCATGTGTGTGTGTGTGTGTGTGTGTGTGTGTGTTACTTATTATAATAAGCATAACTTAAGAAAGCCTTTATGGATTGTGATTGACATTTGGTATGTAGGTAGGTTGTTGCACCTCAAAATATGAAAAAAAGAGATCGATTTATTGAAGGTGACATGAAGTATTGACTTGAAAAACAAAGATACATGTCCATCTTACTCTGTGCAGATCAGTCAGATGATGAGGGGTAGATACAAGCCCCAGCCGCCAAACGCCGCTTCTGCACCCGCTGCCTTCCCTCGCAGTGTGGCGCTGCTGAGGGAGTCAGGTTCACCAGGCACGTCTTGTGGCAGTTCTCATCCTTCCGAACATTCATCACCTTCACCAGAGGAAACACCACAATTTCAGCGATCGTCACCAGGCCTTGGAAGATAGCTGGTCATTTAACCTCCAGGATATCTCTTATACACTGTCGTTTGTACACCTTCAGCACTGCCGCAAACGGTTATGGGGGAAGCCGCAATCAAGTCAGATTTCATAGTGAAGTGTGATTTAAATACACCGTAGATAGTTGACAGTTGTAGTCGCGTGGCCAAGACGTACATTGTATTTAGCCACGTTGTTCTACACATTTCCCTCTACCTCAACACGCCTGTTTTTTACCCCTATATTTTGGACAAGAAATTCTAGTAAGAATGATTCTCTGTGCGTTCCGAGTGAACTTTCGCCATCTTAGATATAACCGTCATACTGACCGTTTGTGGCGGTTATTCATCCCTAGAAGTTGGGGCGTTACTTGCGAGAGGCCTATATTCCTATGCAGAAATCTGTGATACTGAAAAAGTATAGCCTATACTATATGTAACTGCACTGCCAAGCTAGGCAACAAGGTGCCGCTGCTGTACGGCTTCACCGGTCGCCTCTCCGATTAATACGTATTAATGAAATATTTAACAAAATATTTAATTACATGGTGTCATATAGTCCAAGCGTCGAATAATGTTGGTTGCTGTCTTGAATATACATTATTTAATACTTTTAAACTGTCCGCCTCCTTGTTTTATATCGAGTTATCTATATTTTGGATGAGACACTTCCTGCTGATTTGGTTCTTGATAAAAAAAACTTTCAATACTTACGTCAAAACGTTCATCCATTTCTAAGACAGGTCAGAGAGTTCAGATGTGATACCAACTTTGTCATAACTCGACACGCAAAGGAAAGCGTTTCGCTCTTTTAAGGTCCCTATAGGGTCAGACCAGTCGATTTATTTCTCTTAAATGTCGATGTTCACAGCAGTGATGAACTTATAGTATGAGATTTTATCGGAAACTATGGCGCCAGTTTGGTGCATGCCCTGAAAACACCATTAAAATCACAGCATGTGAAGTATTTTTCACTTGAAATGTCGAAAAGATCATACCTCAGATGTATTTCATCTCTTTGAGTCTGTGATCGTATGATGTATGTTTCAGCACCCCTTTTTTTCGCGGCGCTTCCATCACGTAAATGAGTCGTGTTTGACCGTAGGGGCCCCTGTAGAAGATGAAAGGCTGGCAGCTCCGTGAGTGATCAGGACCGGCGGGTTATCTGGAGTACCACTGATGACTTTCAATCACTGTTCCCCGGGAAGTGGGGAGAGATAAGGCCGCCCGTCACGACTTCAAACGTGGTCTGGTCCTTTGTAATTCTCGTAAAACTGCTGCGGTTTGGAGAGATAGATGGAGGGAGGAATGGTTAGAGAAGATAGATACAGCTGAATGGACGGCAGAGATTTGATGTTGAATTCGCCCTGATTCCTTCGCTGGGAAGCGTCGTTACCGTGTAGAGAAGCGTGCCAGAGGCAGGTACAACTGCGGAGCGGCCGTGAAAGTGAGCTTTATATATAAAAGACGTACACCATTCATGCTGATGGATTTCCTATTCTCTTATAAAAAAAGCTATACAGAAGATTGATCAAAAGTAACCAATCATTCTTGGAAATTAGATGATCCAGACAACCAATGCCTGGTACATTTTCATCACTGTACAAATTCTGAGAAGCTCCAATCCCCAGATTGAAACCTGTAAAGACGTACATACATGTACCTGGTGCAGTGGAGATGGCGTCCATTCTATACATGGAGGAGTGTTTTGGATTCAATGCTTTGTAGGATTTGAGTGGTAAGAATTGTCTCTCCGTCCCAATGTACTGGCACAGGTGCATGTTTATCAAAGTATGTACGTATTTTCAACTACCAAGGTCAAAATAAACCAGAAGTCCCCGGTAATGGATGTGGAGAGTGAGAAACAAAGGCAGGGGTTTGAAAATAACACCAGAAAAAACAACAATGGCAATATAATTAGAATAAGTTATGCTTTCCGAAGACTTGAAAATCTCGACTGATTAAGCATGAAACTTAGGTAGTGAGTACGCATTCAAGCTCTGGCTACCTTTGACCATGCACACACACGGTGGTTCTTTTGAAATATATAGGTGCTAGGAAGTCTCCCAGGGGTAGGGGGTGATAAAGCACTACATGACCTCACACTACAGGGGTCGTGCTAGATTCACCACTGTGCTTGCTTCTGTATGAATAAAACCTCATTGTCTACCGTGTGTCTAAGCCTTTGTATTACCAGCCACGCCCACATCGAGGTACAACCTGTTATACATACACAATCATCGGGATGAGGAATCACTGTCCGCTTTTAATTCCGCCTGAAACAGCGCTGGCGTGACTCGAGCGAGCTACCTGCGGCTCCAATTATTCCACTTGATGCGTTCCTACCCCCGCCTCTTCTTTCAGGCCTTGACTGGAATTAAATTAGGAGGAAAATTAACGCCACAGAGGGCACGCACAGCCCAAATCACCCGCTAGTGTTGCCTGAGAATTAGCCTGTGGGGAAAGATAGCTCCCGTCCATTCGCCGCGCTACATTGCCTGCCGCCTTATCTGTAGGACCAAGTTGGCGTCGTACGCGGAGATTATAGTGATGGTCCCTGCACGTGCGGCGGGTGGAAGGGCCTGGGCTGGTAGGGTCGAATAAAGGGCAGCGGGCACTAGTTGAACATTAGTGTGGGCATAAGTCAGACTAGGGAAGTCACGTAAAGGAGTGGGAGCGGACACGGTAGAAAAATATACCCCTGTCTCACTCTGGGTGGACAGCAAAGCAGTTTTGACACCGCAAAATCCTATTTGATCAAGAGACAGAAGCACATATCATTTGCAGAAAATGTCCAAGAGGTTTTGGAAGTGAGTTGTACTCGTTAAGTTCGCTCGTCACAGTCGAGCTTGGAATTATATATACAATATAGTTATAACATTCAGAATATTTCAAATATGGAATCTAGGAATAGCTAAGTATGTGATTCTGTGAAATCTTTTAGGGCATTAAATATTGAGTTCCTTTTGGAAGAATTTATTGACCATTCACAAACCATGTCTGTAATATTAACAAGACAATGTAAACTTGCTCTATACTTTCGCTGATTATTAACGTTATCGCACTGACCGCGCCCTAGCTGAAGATGACTACGTCTTCTGCATGTAAACTACCAAACGAATGCCCATGCCTCTGAGGTACTGGTCAACAATCCTACAAAGAAAAAACTCATGCAGGGCTGTGCTCTTTTGCCTTTCATTTCGTTCCGGATTATTTCGGTGCGGTGAGATCTTGACTAACCTGTCCTCCATGAAATACAGGCACGCGTCACTATCAGACGATTAGATCTGTCCCATGAGCAAAGACCCCTGGTTGCCATGGCAATCTCGCTTATCTTGGGCTTACAAGCCTGCCCCGAGGCATGCCGGGACGACCCGCGAGACCAGATTGCTGGAGCTGGCCCGGCTCTGTAACGGCTGCCAGAGACCGAAAGCGCTTCTCCTCGAATAGTAAAAGGGAGAACTTCTGACCCTCCGACCTCGCGGGTACACCGGGCTTTGGTGGGAAGATCAGCGGGAGACCTGCCTCACCCTGCGGCTGATCAAACCCGGGAGGTCCGGCGATCGTAAGTTTCAATTAGACACATCCATGGATACTACAGGCGGTCGCGCTCTTTCCGCCTCCCGATAGAGGAGATGTGATAGGCGCTCTCTACGGGGTAACTACGCACCCGGGCTCACGTTAATCAAGCTAATCAGAACCAAAGGTCTCCGGGGAGGACCGCTCGGTGCACAAGGCCGCGTTTGTGAGCTCGACAGACGCTCCGAGATTTGTATGGGGACAAGGTAGCTGTGTGCCACCAGGAAAGGACAAGGACTTGTCGGACTCATGAGGGAAGCAGCTCTCCTTATCTTCCTATTCTGTGGAATCCTACTCATATCCTCAGGTAAGTCACACATATAGCACTATATTGGAGACATCAGTTGTGGAACAGGGACGTTGTACTGGGCTTAGGGTAGAACAGATACCGCACACCGACTGTCTCCATGTCTACAGAACTATATATACCCTCTGCTATGGGAAGACGAGAAGACTTATGACAAGCTAAATGAATATCGGTTTTTTAAATATATATTGGCATCACTGAAGCATCTTGTGGAAAGCTACATGTAATTAACACAACCATGTAGTTAGTTGTCTGGAATAGCTCGTTGATGCGCGGCTGCTAACAGAATCGCTGTCCGGATGTAATAATGATGTATCACATGGTCGCGTCTTCTACAGCGGAGAAAATCAATTTTAAGATCTTTCTGTCGCGAATCGCAGTGCAAGCTACTATGTGTGTGATGTAGACATGCGTCCATGTAACGTTACTGATTGACGGAATATGGAGTGAGGCCTTTTAACAGTGATAATTCACCAGGCACATAAAAGCTTTGAAATACCACATTGCCTTGTTCTTCCGGTAGGCAACATGACCCTTATAGGTTTACAAAATATCGATAGAAAATGTAGCATACATGTTCCATGTGTAGAGTTATTAAGTCACACCGCGGATAAAGTCAATGGTGTGAGAGTGGGTTTTTGCAGCACCAAGGACAGGGACAGTGGTGTTAAAGTAAACATTTTTAGCACCAAGGACAGGGACAGTGATGTTAGAGTAAAAAAATTCAGCACCAGGGACAGGGATAGTGGTGTTAGAGTGGACCGCTTTCAGCACCAAGGACAGGGACAGTGGTGTTAGTGTGAACGTTTCTTCAGCACCAAGGACAGGGACAGTGGTGTTAGAGTGGACCGCTTTCAGCGCCAGGGAAGGGACAGTGGTGTTAGAGTGAACGTTTCTTCAGCACCAAGGACAGGGACAGTGGTGTTAGAGTGAACGTTGCAGCACCAAGGACAGGGACAGTGGTGTTAGGGTGAACGGTTTTCAGCACCAGGGACAGGGATAGCGATGTTAGAGTGAACGTTGCTTCAGTACCAGGGGCAGGGATTGTGATGTTAGAGATGACGTTATTTTTTTCCAGTACGAGAGACAGATACAGCAATCAAATCGAAGCTTAGGCATACTAATCACAAAATATTGTTACCTGCTTGAACCACGGTAAAGCTGTGGTTATATCATATAAAACGGATATGTAAGCTCGTGGGTAGTTTTTTTGCAAAGTTCGTTGCGAGTTATGATGTTTATATACCACAGGCTGCCCGGGGCTGAAAATGGATGATTTGAATAGGCAGTTCAAAGGCTTACAGAGTACATATAAATACCCTTCATGACCTACATTATCGTGTTTAGTCCAAGCAGGTTTCGCCATGTACGCGGCTTTTCCTGTCGCTAGCTATGGGCCGCGGTGATGTCAATTATGCGTAGAAAATTAAAGCACTGTTGGGCGTGCAATTTTCTGATCTGAATTATACCCTAGGATCGGGAAATACTATCACTTGGGTGATGTCTATTTATTCTCCATCAGCTACACCATTATGTGATTTCCCAGCCTATAACTGTGCTGTCACACAGAGTCACCTTTAGTCATTGTCCTCCAGTCTTACTACTCCCAGCGGCAGCTCTACATTTCAATAAGGCCTGGTGATTACAGCATTCGATGGAGGCATGCTGCCCCCCGCCCCCCCCCCGCTACACACGCGTCCAAAATATCGGGTTTCACATAGCAGAGCGGGATCTTGGTCTTTCACTTAGACAACAATGAATCCATTTTCGCTCCATTTCAAAGCCGTCTACACTTTGGAGAGAAAATTGATTATTGCGCACTCCAACGTCTTTCATCTGTGAAGAAGTCACTCCAGTCTACTTGTGGAGTAAGTGTGCATAATTGTGCCCCGGTCGTCATTATTAACCTTTCAGGGTACGCCGCACACGCCACCGCCGACCCACTGGTCATTGTCCTCTGAAAACGATGCGCAAATCATTCCCTAAATTTGTAATCTAGATTAATAAGTTCGTGATGTGATTGCACCAATTTGCGGGGGAAGGCATGTTATTGACCGGTAAGGACACTGGCCTGTTATTGGCCGGAGCTGACGAGGCGAAGCGTACACAGTGTCGGTTCCACGTGAACAGTCGGTCTCGTCACCAACCGCACATTTTCAATTTCACTCCGGAGGATAATAGAGCTCGGTTCCGCGAGATGAAACACATTGCTCTTGAAAATAAATCACTTCAGATGAGTATGATGGATTGAGTTGAGTCGTGATTCAATTTAGACATGCCTGAAAATTGGGCCATATCTTACTGAGGTATTTTTTGGCGCTGAACGCATAGACGTAAAGTAATGTAGGGGTATTATAGGATAGAGATTCGTTGGCTAATGTATATTGTAATATATGATAGATGCTGTTCTAACAAAACAGCGATTTACATGTGGGTCCGTAATCCATAAACTGTAAATATACCAATTATCATTTATACTATACAGAAGATGAATAGACTTACGTCCTAGCGCAGTAAAACCCTCGTGTAAGATGGTGAAATGATATATCATCATCAAAAATGAAAATTAAAACAAATTTTGAATGCTTAGCATTTTACTGTCCATTTGTTGCTTTACATTTCAGAGGAAAAAAAGCCAACAATTTGGAATCATTAACTACAGTATCTCTTGTATGGTGTCCAGAAAAGACGAAAGTATTCAGCGCACCACATATGTGGGAATTACCAGTATTAAGCTTTATGTGTCGCGTCTTACAGGATTGCAAAATGGTGGTGGTGGTGATGGTGTGTGTGCGTGTGTGTGTGTGTGGGGGGGGGGTTTATAGCGAACGCCCCCTTGGACACAGTGCCTAGTTGTTTCGCCAGCTACATATGCATGTACACTATGAATTATGCGTACAGTCCCATTGGGCAGGGGGGTGTTATTGCACTAGATTGCATTATTCCGTCTCGACTACGAACTCGATCAATCAGAAACATACACAAAGAATAAAGCCCCATCCAAACAAAACCGCCCCCTTGTGGCGCGCCCGTGGATTTGTTGTTGGTCTCTGATGGCGCATGGGAAGCCCCACTCTCGCACCGGCTTTGTTTGAAGACTAAATCCCTCCGGCATCGTGCGGTGGATGTGTGTGGACGACTGCACGATTAAACCTAACCTTTACAAAAGAAATCGAAGTCGGTAACGGCCAGCTACATCGCTTATAATTCATCACGGCGTGAAATGGGTGAATTTGTCAGGACCTTTAGTTCAACAGGTGGATAGGGGCGGGTCGGATCATTTGTTAAAAGGGTGATCTGGAGGACAGGGGCGATGGCTAACCTCTCTAAAACTGAGCAAGGGGTTGACAAAAACGGTTGATCACTCTACATTGGTGTTAGAGTTAACGTTTTTCAGCACCAGGGACAGGGACATTAATGTTAGAGTGAACGTTTTTCAGCACCAAGGACAGGGATAGTGGTGTTAGAGTGAACGGTTTTTCAGCACCAGGGACATGGACATTGATGTTAGAGTGAACGTTTTTCAGCACCAAGGACAGGGATAGTGGTGTTAGAGTGAACGTTTTTCAGCACCAGGGACAGGGACATTAATGTTAGAGTGAACGTTTTTCAGCACCAGGGACAGGGATAGTGATGTTATAGTGAACGTTTTTCAGCACCAAGGACAGGGACAGTGGTGTTAGAGTGAACGTTTTTTCAGCACCAAGGACAGGGACATTGATGTTAGAGTGAACGTTTTTCAGCACCAAGGACGGGGACATTGATGCAAGAGTGAACGTCGTTCAGCACCAGGGACAGGGATAGTGGTGTTAGAGTGGTAGTTGTCAGATGATGAGAGAGTTGTTATCCAGCACTGAAGAAAGAAACTTGTGATACCGTCAACATTACAATAGACGCCATACAGCACCAGTTATATGTAAAACTATCACATGATGTATAAATTCAAAACATTTCTCACAGACAGTTGTATTTGTTTATTCATTTTGTCTCGGCAACATTCGCGATGGTATTATAGATAGAAAAGACGTGATCTCATATTGAAACTGCATTCAGTTCATGAATACGTCGGCTTACACTTGATTGATTTTGGATTAATACAGTCTCTGTACTGTGTCGTTATCTCTGGCAGATATGTGCGTCTGGGACTTTGCGGTGTTTTTCATATAGTCATAATTTTACGATGGTGCTTTTGCTTCTAAGTTACAACTTGATAGAACTAATTCTAAAAGCAAAAGACCAGTTAGACCAGTATTGATGGGGGTTCCCTACCCTTTGCTGTAAAGCTGCCCTTTTCACGAGCAGCAGCCGTCACCCCAGGTGCAACACAGGAAATAAAAATGGAAAGAACGTTAAATAATTTTTCCTGCAGATGGGTTTTCTAAAAATAACGTTGTGTGATCGACAGCGAGAGAACCGAGCCTGCGTGCTGCGGCATGAGACCAGAGATCGTGTGGCAGGGTTGTGTCCCGTGATTAAATCAATTCATCCGCCCGTGAAAATTTCATTCCGTGCATAAGGGCCACATGTATATCAAATGGCGAACAAAGGGAAGTAGATTAGCAACCTTAGACGGATACAAATTGAATTCTGAATTATTAATCCTTGCAGAAAGAAACGCCAATGAGTTGTGGTTGTACTGAATCTATTGCCATCATCATGATGGGCAGACCAAGCTGTATATAATACAGGGAAGGATCAAAGGCTGCGAGCCAAAGTCAGGAAGGAATATTAGCTTCCAGTCGGCGCCCGCTACAGGCAGACTCAGTAACACTTTCAATAGCAGTCTTAGAGCGCCATTTGCTGTCAGATTAATGCCGTCTCGTCTTCTTTCTCATGGGAGAGAACGGCTCCAAAAGGCAAACACAGTGGGATGGCCATGCATACAAATGGTAGCATCCCGGTACTGAATGGCCAGTCCAGTCGTTTGCCACGATATCCACACAAATAAGCAGATTCAGTATTTCGTGGCCACAAGGCAAAGGAAAGCCATTCTCGGCTTTACAAATAGTTGTAAATCTTTCCTTCCACAGCTCTTCAGAGACAGGGACGAATAAGTTTTGGGAAGTGTGTGATAATCATACGAAATACAGCTTTTTCTCGTGCCAACTGTAATTCAGTTGTAACGTGGTCCCACCGTGTATGATGAATAATTTGATGAAGCTGGAGCGTTTTATCTTCTCCCCACAGTACCTCTTGTCGTTTCATTGCTCAGCTAACATTGATTGTAATGGCACGTTCCCGCGTGCACAACGGCGTCATTACGGCAATCACTGCGATGTTATCGAAGAAAAACGAATCACAGTAATCACAGAACACTGAGACTGAAGCTGTCCTCCGAGATCTCCTATTGGGTCCCACCAACCACCGGAGAGCCATTAGATAGATTAAATAGTTAAATGCGTCATCGAGAACCCAACCAAGTGCACAGAGATGTTCTTACACACAGCGTGATCTACATGATTCATTCAATTACTACCACAAATGCACACGATCAATATACAAAATGTGTTGTGTACAGGGAGCCTGAGCAATTCACATTCAACTATTACTTAGTTTCACGCTAAATCTTATGTCTGTGGGCCCCCTGCGCTCACTGCCAAAACTCTGATGTATGTGTGGGTGGAATATTATGATGACGGTAAAGTTTGGTACAGAGGTAAATCTTGTTTTTCGTACAAAGCACGTGCAAAATTGGTAGTTGTACACAGCAAGTACAGGAGTTTTCGTTAATGAAGTCGTATATTCTGATCTCGTATAGTGAATATCAAAAAGATTTAAAATAGTACCTCGTACCTAAATGTAAATTAGATACATGTACCGTAAACTGAGGTTTAGACCTGTAACTGTACCTGGGTATCGGTATGCAGCACTATCGTTTAGGCTTAACATCCATCGCCATCAGCATCATCATGCTTTTTCGACTCAACAGGTTTCCTCCGATGTCAGACAGAAAACATTGAGCGCACATCCTGATAAAGAAATACAAAACAAAAATCAACGAACTCTCGTGATATCATTCATAGTGGGGTCGAGTAGCATCCTTGATGGCTATAACCCATATAGAATTGGTTGCCAAACGGCTAAATGTACCTCAATATGCTAATATGCTAATTAAGGTTAGATCGTTTGAGGCAGAGCCAAGTCTTGCACACACAGACGCAAGGTTGGTGCAAGCGAAATGTCGACATTAATATTTGCCATATGACATATTTACAGTTGACATAAGTGCCCTACCTGGCCGAGGGCCTTCCTCCATCGACATTAGTGGATACAAAAACAAGCATATATCTTTTGGTGGTATTAAACTCCAGGTCTAGTCCTGGTCTAAATCATCGTCATATTCTGAATATTTGTTCCATAAGGGCTGTATACACCACCAGGCATCCAGCCTGCTCTAGCTCCTGTAACATTCAGTACCAGTATCTTTATTACTCTTCTGACATTGACAGGCTTGACGCTATTTATAAAACATGACATCACGTTAGATAAAAGGTTAGTCAGCGTGCCGACTCCCGGATAGATGTAGCATAGCCTCACCAGCTGCCCTCCTACTAATTGAATTAACTTTTCATAAGCTCCCCCGTACCTTCATTCATGTTTTATGAGTGTTCGGCGTTGGAGATGAGCATGTAAAGGCGCTTATCTGCGCAGACGACGGTGGAGAAGACGCACGGGAGGCCCACGCACTTCCATCAAAACGTGCCTGAAACGGTGCGCTGTCAATCATCGCTGATGCCTGATAATGCGGGGTATGTGCAGAAATAATCCCCGATATCAGGGACTTACTGCCTGGATCGTACCCCATTTAGATGTGAAACTGTTAACAACAATTCTGCCACGAAAAACTATCTGGCTAATTAAAATGCTCCGCATGTCGGCCATAGTCGGGATCTGTGCACGTCAGGGGTAATTTATGTGAACATGCCCGCATTAGGCTTCCCCACGATGAATGTTAATGTCGTAAATATACGTCGATAGTTCACTTGTACTTCCCCGGCATCCATTCATATAATGTCATACATCAACAAGTGAGGTACAGAGCGCCATCTGAACTCACTGTAAATCTTGAAATGATCGGGACGGTTTTATTTTCGCGCTTTTCTCGGTCACTCGCCGTAGAGTGGTCACACCTCGACTGCGTGCTTTGTGCTTCAGTATTGTTTCGAAATTAATCAAAACTCTGCGAAAAACTCCTTCCCACTCCTATCGCTAAATCAAATTCCCGCAAAAATGAATTAATTTACGGTACGTTCATCCAATTGCAAGGTATGCTGTCGGTTGTGACTATCGTATGGCACAGCAGGATTTAGACATGGTATAATACATTCTCTTTGTATCCCAACCAATTGCTGAGATCTTATTTTCCCACCAATTGAATAAAACCAAATGTTGCCCATCCCAGGAGACGTCTGACAGACGATATTGGCCAGGATTATATTTACGACGTTCCCAGGCTAACCATAGCCTTCTCTGTCCCAGGGCGGCCGTCGTTATCACTGATCACGTGCCCCACGGGACAGTAGGAGACTAATTCGGACATGACGATGACATGCGGGCTGCAAGATGCAGCTTGGCAGGAACTGATTCAATCACTCAATGGGCTTATGTCATGGTCCTATCTACATCGTAACATGCCAGAAACGTGGAATTTGGGCGTTCATTCTTAATTTGTGAAGTTTCACGGAAGTTGTACCAACAGCTTGTGAGTAACTGACCGGCCAGTGCACCAGAGCCTTTCTGATGGAGAGCGCTCTTTTACTCAGTGAAGCTTATTCATGCCTCAAAGCAAGACATTCCGTACTGTACATCCTTATATCCACAAGATTTGTGTAACACCCGAGGAATCGTGTTGGGTCGGTCACGTATTTTCCTAGAGCTTTCCAGCGTCTTCACCTCTTTAAAGGTTTATGGTTTCCAAGAAGGTTCTTGGCTTCTGAAAAAAATTTGTTGAGTAATGCACCACCATTGATGTGCATCCACGCAATTTCACCACGATGTTCTGTCTAAATATGATGAAACAGAGCAGGGTCAAACCCATGGGATATTTGTGCGAAGCTCAGCAGCTCTCCAACCCTCCGTCACTTTGAGCGCCTTTAATGCATGAACATGACCGGAGGCCCGCGCTTACAGCCCCAGACCTCCCGTGTATGGTTTATGGAAACATGAGAACGGTCGGTCGTTATGAGATACTCGACACTCCACAACTCTGCCTTTTCAATTGTGCATTAAGGGAGCAAGGGGAATGTAAGAAGCTTACACGTACTTCTGCTGAACACCCAAGAGGAGGAGATGAAATACAGACTTGGATGACAGAGTGCCGGTGTTGGATAACACTGTAATCTCTTCGAAGCACGGCATATATTTTTCTTCGAAGCCATACTTCAGAACCAGGGGCCTCCGTGGGGGCCGGCAGAGACATGTATATAATGTAATGATGATGTGGAAAGTCCTAGGAACCGCAATGGTCTGAAATAATGAATGTCTGTGTTTAGTAGTGTTATAGACCGGAGGGTGTTCGAACCAGTTGCTGAGTATATTGAATTTCATGGTTTCATGGTTTTCATACAACCGTTTCTCTCGGTATGCCTATATAACATGTGCGTTGGGGCTTAGTTCGAGTCATCTTATTGGTTGCTTCATTATATGGTATTGAATGGCACAGAGGTTTTAAAAGTGTACAATATTCCTTTTAAAATACGATAACCATATCCGCTACAACTAACGCCATATATATATTGTGTTGCCCTGTGAACGTCCAACCGCTTTACTGACGATGTATACATACGGCGACGCTACATTAGTAAACCGATTGGCATTATCAGTTGATGATTATCTGTTACATCGCTATAGATGGATAAAAGAAAGCAATCAACAAATGTAAGCTTGCTAGTTTGATTTATCACAACATTATGAAGAACTTCTCTGACTGCCCATCCGCCCCCTCACATACACCCTTGCCTCATCGAGTCTGTAAAAACAAGTACAGGCATGACCTTCAAGTCATGAGATACCAGATGGTTGTGAAAGTCGGCCGACAGCCTCCGATATCGATTGTTCTTGTCTATTGGGCTCATGTTTAATCAAAGAGAACATAAAACAAAAACAATGGCGCTTGACTGGCCGTATGTCAGACTTGGCAGGATGGGGAAGTGGAAGATCGCAGTGCTAGTCGGGAGAGCTCGAGAATGGGTATTTGAAAAATAATGTACTTTGATTAGTTACCTCCGTGAGGCATTATTTTGGGTGTGTTTGCTTGTGTGTATGTTTGCTTGAATCTTCAAATATTTGAGTGACAGCACGTGTGTGTATTTGGCGGGTGGGGGGAATCACCTAACTACAGTCCATAAAAGGTCAGACACAGGAAGTTAGGTCCCAGAACAGAAGTTGGCTAGAGAGCCAACAGGAAATTGGACCGGGAGTCTGTTGGCTGGATGGCTGTTGGAAAGTGATTTAAATTGTTGAATATAACTTTATCTTTCCAGTGGCCGCTGCAGATGTCGGGCTGAACGTGGAGACCAGTGTGGACGCCGTCCGCGGCGATCCCGTCACCCTCCGCGCGTCCTACACCAATCAGAAGCAGCTCCTGACCCTGACATGGCACAAGGTGGAGGGGGGAGTGGGCGGTGCGCGGGCCGTGGTGTTCGCCTACATCCCGTCAGCGGGGAGGAGGGACGCCAGCGGGCCGCTAGAGGACCGGGCTGACTTGGTGGGGAAGGCCTCGCTCAGGATCCGGAACGTACGGCTGGGGGATGAGGGTCTGTACGTCATCACCGTCATGTTGGACGGCCCCGTGCAGCAGGAGAAATACGTCTACTTAAACGTCTTAGGTGAGAGGAACGGGATGTGAACTGCTCCAAATGTTTCCCAAGCATATGTTTGTATTGATATAGTACACCTAAGTCGAGCCATGGGCTCCTGAAATAAATGATGAAACTAAATATTAGAAAAAGACAATAAAAACTGAATGATAAATACGCTCATCTGTCATGATAATTACCACAGCGGAAAATTCATCCTCTGAATTGCAAGTAAGACCGTCGAGTTAAAAACAAGTGCAAATTTAAGGCAAAGCGTTGTTACATTACTCTAGTATAATGTCCACGCAAATTAAAAAGCTTTAAAATATTGTTAGAAGTTACAATCTACTTCTTATAATCATGCACGGCCGATGTCCGCATTTTGCCGTTTTGAAAGAGACTAATCATTGATTTCTTTGTGGAAACACCACATTGGGAACTGCACCCAGTGGTGTATAAGAAAGCAGGCTCCAGAACATTCATTTCTGAGAAGCAAACCCTATTCATGGCCCATTCTTTTCGTTCGCTGTCAGAGAACGCCAGAGCTCAGATCATTTCAATAGAGATCCCATCAGTTTAAACTGGCACAACGAGCGCTCGTGAAACATAACAATAACGGCGTTTGCCCAGCAGGCATTCAGCAACTTAATAGTATGTCGTGCAAACCGGCAATAGAATACTAGTGGGCAAGCGCGCAGTTTTACTATATTGTCACGAAACGCGTTTGGATAATGACCATGTCACACGCATAAAAAACTATTTTGGACTATGTTTGGATGTTCTTTCAGTGTTGCCGCATTACTTTTGCGGGGGAAAAGATTTTGTAGAGTCGCACCCATGGCTTTTTCCTACACAATTAGAAAAACACAAGTAGCACTTTGATCCAAATGTACGTTTGAGCGCACTGGGAAAACGATGTTCCTTGCCAATGGATACATTTCTATAATAGCTCGAGCAGTGACATTTCTTATCCCCGCCAATAAAAGAACTACATATATGTTTGAATATAGGCACCGTTACGACAGAGTTGGATTGCAACCATTTACATTCATTTGGATCAATTGGTGAATTGTTGCAGTTCCCTTCGAAATTGGACCTTTCGTGTAAAGAAAATTGGAAACGCCATGTATGCATTTCATTTATGAATCCCGCAGGGAAAAACACAAAGATGGAATCAACGGTAACTCAACAAAAATTGAAAGGTTGAACTCGAAGTCATACACTACCTGCTGCGTGCAAAATAAAGCTGAGCGTCTCCTACCTATGTACAAGTTGTGTGTTCAACTATATGTACATGTAGTCATATATAATGCAAACATGACTTTTGCTATCATTAGGTTATTTGTAGCAGCCCGGCACAAGGTATGATTTGACAATTTAATCACATTTCTGCCTATGGAGCACGAACATGCGTTGAAGAATTATACTGTTTATATTTAACCATAGCTTGTATCAATGATCTTAATGATTTGCATTTTCAGTTCCGCCAACCGTTGCCGTTGGACCAGAAAACCCATACATCGTGGAATGGAGCACTAACGTGACATTAAACTGTATCGTGGCCAATGCTAAACCGGAAATTACGTCTTTGTACTGGATGAAGAATGGCGTCCCACTCTCGGCGCTGAAGCTCAGCTCCAAATATGGCGGCGGAGACTTGCACTTCCCCTCACTCATCATCAGGAACGTGTCAGGGGAGGATTCTGGGACATACACCTGCATGGCAGACCACGTGACCAGACCTGGGAACGACAGTCTGTCCTTGGAAGTCCTATGTAAGTTCCTTTCATTCGTATAAATCAACCACACGACTGAAGGGAATGGGGGTGAACTTGAAGTTCACGAAAACCCAAAGTGATTCCCGAAAGTTTGAAATATCTAATTTCTCCTTCGAAACGTTGTTAGCAAATAAAACGTTTGACAGTGCAGGTAAAAAACATAACTTAAAATCAATTGCAGGGGATAAAAACAAACCAAGGAAATTCTACCAACGATTGAATTCCCCTTCTATTGACTCCCGCTATTTTTTTTCGATCGCTGTTAGACAAGCTATGGTTTCCGTTAATCCCAACATGTCAACCGGTGTAGGTGAAGTAATGGAAAATAAATGGGACCAAATTCAGTCCGATATCTACCTCTTCCAATACCACCTCTTCCTGAACTGGATCGCTGAGCGAGCATGTTTTGTTTGTTTATTGTTTAAATGCACATACATAATAATAATCAAATTCGATATCAAACTTAAGAAACCTGTACGGGGAATCCAGATTTATGTTGGGTTTTCCTCTCCCCCCACCCCCCACCCCCACTCGAGTACCGTTATTCAAAATACAGTCATTGGCCTTAGTGTCACTACAGTAAAATGTATGTTTTTTTAACGGAACAATTTTGGAGCGGAACTTGTTACCAAGTATATTAGGAGTATCCTCACCACAATTCTTTAAGCAACGCCTAGAGATATATGTAACAGCCGTTCTGTTGATCATGACAATAGACGGGGGCTGTCCATGGTGCTGAAAGCTCTTTTGTTTGTAAGTTTGGCAGCACTAAAATCTCAGCATTTTACCCAAGACTGCATTTTTTGTCAGATTTTGTCAGTGTGATATATGCAAGGAGAAAAATGTATACATTAGCTTCCTAGAATACTATTGGGACGGCGTTTCCCAGCCTTTAATAGAATCTGATCTGCGAGCAATTTAATGAAGGATTAGTTCCGGTAGCGGTGGTGTTGATAGTCGATAGGTCTGGCGCGACTAGGTCACCCCCGGGCGCTTAATGGAACTGCGTTCTATTCACTCGATAACTGTCATTGTGTTCATCAGTCCATAAAGTTATAAAAGTCACAATGCTTTCAACAGAGCTTTTCGAGATTTATAAGTCGCGTTTTCATTCAGTTGTGCGGTGCACCGCAATGACAGTTAAATTCAGTGAAGGATAAAGTCACCGACAGACATGATGCTATAGCTAAGGTGTTCATTATCACTTTGTATTATTTCAGTGGTAGAATTGTGTGAACGTTTTTCCATTAGATCCTGCGAAAATTGTCCAGGTCTCGGACACGGTAAGAGCCCCAGAGGGAGGGAATGTGCAGCTGCAGTGCTTGGCCAATGGGAACCCTCGACCTAGGATCACGTGGTCAAGGAGTGGGACCGTGATTCCAAACGAGACCCCGGCTCTAATCGACGGACTTCTCGTCAGCCGACTTCTCGTGAGAAGTGTGAGGAAGAACAACACCGGGGACTACATATGTTCTGCCAGTAACGGTTTAGGGACGAGGGCCTCCAGAACTATAAGACTCATCGTCGAAGGTGTGTACATCATAAGGCCAACACTTAGCCAACTAGTCTTACATTAGGGATCAATTTAAGACAAAAAACTACTGCCGACAATCATTGCAAATATAACCTTATCAACTTATCACCAAAATGCGACCAAACATTTGACAAATTCATTAAGAACGAATCCTTTTACGTTTTGTGTGTTTGGTTGTATTTCAAATAGTATTTTATGTTTTCCATCATATTCAAATTAACAAATCAAGGGTCACTCAAATCCAATGATGTTGGTCGCTGAACGGTTGCTCTACGTGGATGGCAGAATAATATGGCATTCTAAAGTTTTACTGACATCTTAAATAATCTTAACTTAACTAAAAGGCATTCAACCATAGGTGTTAACATCGGTATATTCTCTCCTGTTTCCTGCTACAGATCCAACAGTGACCTCCCCCGCCGTTATCGCGATCATTGCCGGTGCCACGCTCGGGGGCGTGATTCTGATAGCTGCTCTGCTGTGCACCCTCTTCGTCTTCAAGCGCAGGAAACGTGATCAGGACCAGAGGGACTTCTCATTCTACTACAAGGCTGGCAGGCAGCACTTCGAGTACGTCGCCAAGGAGGAGATGAGGAAAGCTGAGGAGAGCCCTTTTAAGACGAAGGCGTCAGGGGAGTTTGCCTTCAAACCAGGTAAGCTATTAGCACTAGAAAGGAACTAAAGTAGGTGAGAAGTCAGGCATAGGGCGCTTTCCAATCGATGGCAAGCATTAATATGAAGAAATGGAGGATAGTCGGCAAGTGTGATGTTCTGAATTTTAATTATGTCTATCATTTCTAAAATACAAAAGCTATTCAGTTAATATATGTCTACATCAGCATCGAACAACTAGAGAAAGAGTAGGCAGAAAGGTAGCCTCAAGGCACAGTGCTCTAGCACATCAACGTTGGACTCTTAATGAGCCCCAAAGTCGAATATGCACTATAAAGACCAGGTTTTCTCCACGCCGCATGTCCCATGAGCCCTTGTTACACGCTATACTGCAGGTGGTAAAGCTTCACCTGCACCGTAGTTAAGACTGATCCCGACTGTCCATCGCAATGTTTTCAGTCTTGAGAAATGTGGGCAGGGATTTGAGATCGGTCTATTCTCTATGGAACATTACTTCTGCAGAAATATAATGATTCGCATGCATGGCATCCATCGACGTTGTGTTACTAGTTTGCTTAGTTATGTAATGTAGTATTTAGAAAGATTTGGTGTTATTCTCTCCACTCACCAGCAGTCTATCAAATGCGGTATCAAGGGGAAGTTCTAACGTTAGGGAGCTGGGTTGCGCCCAATTTAGAATAATACCAGTGGCAGTGCTGACGTTCATACTGATGACATTGTACACCGTAAACATGTCTTAGTAACTAAGGCTGGTGTATGAGAAGTATACGACTAAATATTCACACTTCTAGACTTTGTGGGCGATAGTTGTTGTCTGTGTACCCGGTACTGGTCCATACCATCTGCCTCTTGCAGGTCAGGAAAGTACATCGCGATTCACCGTGAATCAGACAAATGACTATTTAGAGTACGTATTGATTGAATAATGGTCCTGGTGTTACATTTGATACATGAGGACCGTATGTTAGAAATGATCCATTGATTCTCTGCTGTAGAAAGTGGTCTGATGTGATGTTTTAACCTTCTCTGCAGACGTGGACATGTAGCTGCGGTGCTGAATCACTGGAAGCAGCGGCGTGTTCTCCATTAATCGATCGATGTTATGATCAAAAATAGATCAAAGCACTGCAAATGTACATTGATGTGACGTCCCTGGAGAGGGCTTTCAACAATGTTGTTAATCCTGAGCCTTGTCTCATTAGTTACGTCGTTGTTAGAGCTCTTACCGGTATTCAATTTGGTACGGTGATAGTTTTATGCAAACATTGCTATTTTGTACGATACAAATGACTTGTTGGATCAGAGAGTTGATCACAGGACGATCTTCCAGTGCAGGAGATCTGTAAAATGGTCACGTCGGCCACTGTAAGTGCAGTGCACGAGCATTTTTATGCACATGAAACAAAAGTATGACGTTTTCGTACATGTACAATAGTCACGCCCTTGACTTTGTGATTTGGCCCTGTTTGGCACTGTCTGTTATGTGGAAAATAGTTCAAGAGCTATTACAAGAACCCGTATTTGAACTAGGTGCTCACTTTCTATTCTCTGCCCAATAGTTTCTGGAGCGATCGAATTTGTGTCTTTAACTGTGAAATCCACCATGCTTCGTGAGCCCGCTTAGTTAGTGCAGACATATGGAGTTGTCTCACTAGAGTTCGTCTGTAGCTAAATTCAGAGAGGTAACTAGAGGTGAGGATTTAAGACCGTGTCATAACGATTTCCGATATTTCTTACCGTCAAGTGCAGTTTTCTGGCTCTCCTGTGAATATATTTTTCTTTCATGACACGGATTGTAAATCCAATGCTTTCGAATTACTGTGAGGTCAAGTTGAAACTATATCTTATCTACTTTACTAATTTTATCTACTTGACTCATCACAAATCAGAATACATTCAAAATGATACATGAAAATGTACTCTAGATTATAAAAATCCCATACGCGGAATATAACGGAATATAAGAATTCACATGTCTAACATTTTGATATTACTTACTCCTCTACTTCAAATATTGGTAGTCACCAATAAGACATAATGGTTGCAATATCATTCTATAATATGATATCATTCGACAGTGCATATATAAATTGTATAGTTGCTATTAAACATATATTTTTTACTTGACATTTGAATAACTCATCTGCCTAGTTAGCCATTGTGTAACCTAGCATGTATAAGTAAGCGAGTATCCACCATGACACAGACGTTTGTCTGTATTTTTGACCTGCCGACAGACAGCTGTGTGGACCCGACATCTGCGTACGAGAGTTTCAAGGCGGTGAAGAAGAACAGGAAGGAAGGTGACAGTACGTTTTGTTGTACCTGCGCAGCTGATTGGTTTATAGTTACATGTAGAATGTAGTGGAGTGACATTCCGTCAGAAGGAGTCGGGTCGAGAGAACGAGGTCTGATCTATACGGCTAATTGTCATCAAATAACATTTTAATATGTAATATTGTGCATCAGGCCTGCCCAAGCCACCTCCATCGAAACGTAGAAGTACAAAATAAAAACATACAAATGTAAATATTTGACAACATGCGCTAATCTCTCATTGGCCAAAACGCTAACCTAGCAGTGTCATGCTATCATTGGTTGAACTGCTAGTTGTTATCGTAGTCAGGATCGCCGTGAATCGTCCTGGACCTACAAGGCAGCATGGTTTTAAACCCATGCAGTAAGTATATATACACCACGTACAGTCGTACTACAACAAGGCACTTTGCACAACGGCGGCCGTTATTCCAGTCCCGTGTAAATGAATGGGGCTGAGAGTGCATCATGGCATCGTTAGTGACCCCTGCCCAAATCGATAGACCGTAACAAGAGAAACAGGCTGTTCTGGAGATCGATGCCGGCCAATCAGTCTGCCACTACCAATTTGGGCGGGAACGTTAGCAGTGATGCAGAGGACAATTGCTCACGGAGAAAAGGATAGACGAAACCCACTTTATCGCTCTGGAGAGCAATTCATTTTGTAACGTACCTTGGCACGGGCTGATGCATGCACGGTTTTGCAGAAATTTGCCAAAATTGGAGGTATTGGGGGTATTTCATGACGGTAATGCTTTGCTGGGTAAACATTCAATCACTACGAGCCGTCGAACAATCACATAAATCTCAAGATTGGTCGCAACAAATTAAGTATAGAAACCGCGAGATTCCAGAAAACATCTACTGAACAAACATTTTGTCCAGCAACAAGAGGGTGAATATAACATTCTGATAGTATGTCCCAAGTATTCTGATGTGCGTACTTCACTATATGCAAGTCTATCTTCTATGCCAGGATTCCTGACATGCGACAACCCCTGCAGGAATATGAAAAATGTCTAATCATTGAAAACTCCTCCCATCCGAGAGAAGCTAGATACCCATGTTTACCTGAGTGACCACCTGTTGCGCTGTTTGTGCCTCCCCCAGCAGGTTCTCGGTACGCCCGGGCGCTGTACGACTACCAGGCGCGAGGAGAGGACGAGCTGACCCTGCAGACTGGGGACGTGTACGAGGTCATCACCTGGGAAGGAGAGCGCTGGTGGCTCGGCTATCAGAACGGAAATATCGGCATCTTCCCATCGGAATACGTGGAGCTCATCTCGGAGAGCGGTACAAACACAGTTCTTTCTCTAACTGTCTTCATTATGTTACACCCAGTCGTGTTGAATGTCATGTCAGATGTTTGAGCAAGATGTATATGCAGTAATTGAAGCCTTGAAAATAAGTGGGGAAATTTTACCACAAAAGAACAAGCCCTAAGCACGTTAACACACCTTTGTCCACATGATGTATGTAACACATACCAGCAAGAAATCAGCTATTTTGTCCCTTTATTTGCATTTCAAGTTTTATTCACTATTGTGGATTTCCCGTCACTACATTTTCCGCCTGGCATATGGCCAGTAGCTGAAAAACTTCCTGTCAGCACCTGAACTGAAACCTTTCCAACTAACTTCATGTGTCTTGCATTTTCTGGTCAGTGGTTTAGGGAATCCTTCCATCAACACACACGGGCACACGCGCACAGCCATACAACACACGAAATAATACCTCCGGAGGTAGTGAGACTGTATTTTCTTGAAACGTGTGACAGCATTTCTGTAATGACGCCATCTCACCTCCTTCCCTTGCTCAGACGCTCGTGCTCACACATCAGGAGAGGAGAAGCCCCAGCCACCCAAGAAGGTCCCGGATGCACCGCAGGGCATGGCGGGAGCACAGAAGGTGCTTCCTCCGCTGCCACCCAAGAAAATTCCTCAACGAATCAGCCAACTGCAGCAGTACCTACAGGTGAAAATCGATCCCTCAGCAGTATGAACGGAAATTGTTATTCGGTAAAAGCCTTGGGCTATTTGACGTTGTAAATAGGTAAGTGATATGATATTCACGACAGAAATTTGAGATTCCATCCTTAACGTTTGCATTTAACCCCTGGGTTAAGAGTTTACAATAAACAATTAATCATAATCTTGACACTTCAGATTTGTAAGAAAAATACTTTGAATACTGACTTTATTTTGACTTTCCTAGAATGACAATGTTTGTTTACAATCGCCATGTTTCTGTTGCAGGCAGAGGAGGTTGTGAGCCTACCCGAGCTGAACACCTGCCATCGGACCCTGTCCAAGAAACCGCCTCTCCCTCCTGTCACGCCGCAGTAACTCAGCTCTACTGCCGACAGATGACATACTCACTAGCACATTGAACAGGACATAAAGTTTTAAAGGGACGAGAGGAACAAACGAAACATTCTGGTGGCGGTGTGTGTAGGGTGAATGAAGTTGTGAGCTGAATTATAACTAGAACTTAAGGATCGGATTTCTTGCACATTTAGATGGAATGCGCAAGAAGATGTCGGTGTGATAAAAAGGCGGTCCGTCCCTACCGATATACAATCTGGTAAAATGTTGTGGTCTCAGATCGACAGGACTGACGGCCAGTGAGATAACTAGCAGCTGACGGTTTTACTGCCGTCGCGCTCACAGCGAGAGACGAAAATGGTAATGGTGGCGATGTTTTCAGATAGACCAATAGTTAACAGAAATTTTAGTTTGCTTCGTTAATTTGATTCAAAGAACGTATGATCTTGTGAAGTTTGAACACAAGTGCTTGAAACTTGTATTGTATAAATCACAGCAAATACTTGCCAACTCACTGCCATAATGATTACGTACAGCAAGTCAATGGTCCTTTTCGACGAAGGAATTCGAAGTTAAGAAGTTGCGTCATAGACTGCCTAGAGAGCACACTATTGTGCCGAAACAAGCAAGATAGCTACTAGTAAACAAAACTGTGAGGTAATCAATCATATCTAGAACATTTAGTCCCATACAAGCTTTCAGTAATCGTGGTTCTGAGTAAGCCTGACTATATCACGCTTCTAGCAGCGCTTCCATATATGCTAAACTGAGACCTGTCTGTTGGAGGCCAACATGACTGATTTCCGGCCAGTCCCAGATCACAGAGAATCCTGGGCTCCTATTGGATTGATTTTCATGATGATAAAGAATCCTGAGCTCCTAATGGTAGTTCTTGGAATGAGGATGATTTTCTCAAGTTAGAGGTGTATATCCACAAGTTCTCGGGGACGAGGCCTGATCAGCCACTGACAGCGTTGTCCATCCATACATTGTGTAACACAGGATAGGTTCTGAGCCTATCAGATTGGGGCTTCATGTCCACTGATAATGATCAAGATGGTGGCGTATCAGAAAATGTAATGGGTGACAGCATCGTACCCTTGACAATGTGCCCTCAGTTGCTCTAAAGTGAACACCTTTTGTACGTGAAATTAATTGCTGTTTCTCATGTATTGTAGACCGATCTAGTCATGTGCTGAAGAGATCTAATGATGTCTACTGTACTGTAGAGATCTATCCTGGTGATCTCTGCGTTCTAAACATTTCGAGGTTGTAATGACTTTCTTGCCAGTATATTTTCTGCGTAAATAAAGCGTCAGTTTGTATGAAAGACATGTACATGACAGGTATCTGCGTGTGAATGTTTTGAGTTTGGTGCAGCGAGTACTATTAAGTAGCTAGCTATCGTGTCTGTCCATAATTTGCAACACAAGTCATGTTTTGACTTGCGTCACTGACGTGAAGAAGGTATAGACAAGTCTAGATGAGTGCAAGCAAGGTCTTTCAGGCTGCAGTCAATACCTACTGAGTCGTCAAAAGAAGGAAGAACGAAATTTGTTTGAACGACTTTGTCACATAGCCAACTCCACCCAGAAAGAAAACTGACGGCATATAAAAGAGACAGAGCATGACGTCATAGCGCTTCCCAACTGTGACAAACCTCAAAGTCTCCGTGACCGCTATACCTGTGTTTTTCAATCACGCCTCTGACGCATGTCGGCCTACAGATTTGACCCTCATCTTATAATGCCATCGGCCCATGACCAGAGCCTCACCCACAGATCATTCAGTAAACACTACACCGGTGTAACAGCGCCTCCTGGAGGTCGGCGTCATGCATGACCGGTACTAACATGTTGGTCAAACAAAAGTAACCTGCCATCAGAGGAATCACGTGATCCAGCGTGCCAGATACGTCCCTGATACAATCGGGATCTATACATCAAAAGAGTAAGGACAGGAACAGGTAAACACGTCGACTTAGCGCAGGTGACGCGGGAACATTGTCGGCAGAAAGGCTCTGGAAATCAGACTTCCTATCGCAACGAGCGGTAAGTACTTAACCTGCAGTACAGAGGTATTATACAAAATGATGTGGAGAAAGATACTTTTACGTTTGATCTCAAAACAATTAAAGACATAACTCTAACACAGTGAGGAGACCAACGTTGACTTCGCAAATATTTCAACAGCGGAGTCAATAATGATCCCGTTCTGCCATAGTTGCAGACGTACGGGCTGTACACGTGAAACCTAGGCTTGATTAGGTCTTGATACGAACTACGTACATTTGAAACTTAAATCCCAATATCGATACAGGCCTTAGTATTGTCCGAAAATGATATACACACTGTGGACACATTATGTGTTGCAACGAACCAGCGGCGTCAAGGCTTTTTGGTGGACTCGACATCTAAAAGAGATTGATTGGAATGAAGAAATCCTCCTTATCCTGGCCACCTGGGCTCAACAACAATTAAACACCACTACATTGACCCTGATCCCCGAGGAATGGTGATTGAGACATTCCCCGGTATTTACCGGAGTCTGAAGTCCTGTTTGGGCGCCCAGTTACTTTAGATTGTTTGCATCGTTAGGTGTGGACTCCGAGGACATTCCAATGGGGAGTACTCGTAACATATACGGAACTAAGAAAGGAACGTACAGCACTTTATAACGTTAGGTACATATGTGCAAACAAGGGGCTAAATACCACTTCAACAGTATTAGCGTTATTGTTACCAACATTAAGAAAGAAAGGGGGTTGTTTCTACCCCGGTGCCTAAAATATGTGTTTGCAGAAGAATTATTGAAAATCCCCCAGGTGTGGTGCTTTGTCTACTAGTAGGTACATTACATAATGCACTACTAATGCTAATGACCTTCATTCGTTAGGATATAGCTCAAGTGACCATAGCTACTAACCAATCAGTTCCCATACCAAACGGCGTTAGAGTCAGTTAGCTATATGAAATATATATGTTGCGCTGTGGTCATATCCGCCAAAGATCGTCCTACAACATGGTTCGAATTCCATTGTACTACTTTTTATTCTTGACACAAACAACAAATTACAAGGGGTATGGATAATTTTGGAGTATGGATAGTTTTGTTGTTAACTGTAACTACTTTCAATGTACTAATATCAAACACGTTTTGAGTCTCCCATTATTTGGCGTGAGATCTGCGCTGACATATCTAGGGCACGGCGGATTTCTTTTTGAACAAACCACAATCTACAAACAATTTTCTCGCTTGGATGATTCCCAGATCCTGTGTTCAATTTTCATATCAACCAGCTTCGAAGAAAAGAATTCAATCATATGCTAATGACATTTCTATCTATCTCTTCTAATACTTACTTACTTGTACTTGAGTAGGTCTCCTCATCTCTGTGAGTGGCCTGCGTCAAAGTCGTCCCTCCGTCTGCACAGCGTCCTGCGCCATACTTGGCGGTCGTGGGCAATCGTCTTCAGGTCCTCTAGGGTCAGACTGGGTTGTTGCATGGTCGTCCTGGCATCTTCCAGTACACATGCCAGCCATGTCTTCCGTGGTCTTCCTCTAGATCTTTTCCCATAGTTGGGGGTCCATTCCAACAGAAACTTGGGCAGCCGTTCTTCGGGCATTCTTAGCAAATGACCTAGCCATCTTAGTCTGTTGTTAGCTATGCGTGTTCCGATCTCCACTGTGTTTGCCTTCTGTAACACGCTCTTGTTTGTGACATGCTGAAACCACTTGATGTGCAGAATTCTCCGAAGACATCTCTGATGGAAGGTTTCCAGTCTATTAACCTGTGCCTGAGTGGTAATCCAGACTTCGCTCCCATAGGTCAAGATTGTAATAACAGCAGCCTCGTATATTCGCAACTTGGTTGCATCAAGAATGTTCCTGTTGTTCCATATTTTCCCAAGCTGGTTGAATGCTCCGGAGGCTTTCTGTATGCGGTTCGAGAGCTCAGAGTCTGTCGTCCCGTCGCTGCTGAAGGTTGTCCCTAAGTAGGTAAACCGACTGACCTGCTCTACCTGACTCCCCTCGACCTTGATGTCCAGTGTGCCAACTTCTGTGTATGGTCGTTGCGTTGTGTGCTTCCCAACCACCATGGCCTGAGTCTTCTTGGCATTGGCCTTCAGCCCAGCAAGAGAACTGTTCTTACATAAGAGGTCTGTTGTTTCTTGTAACCCTGTCTTCGTGTTATCCAGAAGGGATTCTAATAATTATCTTATTTCTTCCTTTTATAGTAATCAGAAATTTTATCGTGAACAAATTGTACGGCTCAGTCTCGCGAGTTCAAAAACGACTTTTAAACACTTTGATTTTGGATTGATAAGACGTCTGCAGTCGTAGACTAATCTGGTTGGGTAATTGGATAAAAAATTCTAGGATACCGTTACGGAGAGCAACAAGTCTGATTTAGGGGGTGATTTCAGATACAACGTGTTACTGTAACCCATAACCATATCCTCAGTAACCCCTACTACAACAAGAGCTCTGAAAGCCGATAGTCCAAAACCTCCACTCAAGCACCCGCCCCTTTTGTGACAGAACGCCACGGTTAGGTTCTCCTGTATGACACAGCCATGCAGCACGGCGATACAAAGTCTCTCCCTTGATCGGATTTTTCTTTCACGACATGGGTTGCCTAGCCCCCTGCTGCTGTCACTGCTTTCTCTCCGTGTGAAAGACACTGTGGGAATGTTCCTTAAAACAAATAGCCACATGTTTATCTGACGACGTCATGAGACGTTGTTAAAGGTGGATGACGTTTTAAAGTACAGGTGCTTTAAAGCTCACACAGGGTACATGTACGTGCTACATGTTACACAGGCTACTGCGTACTTGGCGAGGCCCTGGAGGTGAGTTACGGGACGGTCACATTCGTCGTAACCCGTCGTTTTATGCAGTAGAGTTTCCCAGCAGGCTGTGACAGAACCAATCACCGAGAATCTAGGACAGTCTTTTCGGTGAGAAGGCAGTTGAATCCCGTGTGGCACATGCACGACTATACCAAGAATACCTTCAGTTTGCAATCGTACGACGATCGCACGACGAATGTGACCAGGTATTTTAGTAGGGCAAGGAGGCAGATAGAAGTGTCATGACCCTCACAGCTTTTACATGACATTGGCTGCTTGAATATAAACAAACCAACATCGTAATGCTTGATACGTCGTTTGGGCCAAAGCACGTTGGTAATTAAGAAGGTAGAAAAAGTGCCCATCGTTGTATATTCTACATTGTTGCCATTGCGTCAAGTACATGTTTACATCACGTAAGAACACCGTTGCATGTACAAGAGTACAATTAAGTGTCATAACCGGATAAAAATAACACAAAAATGGTTAGAACTTAGTAGTGTAACATTTTAAGACGGACTAAGCTTTTATACTTGTAGTCCTGCAATGTTTTTATGAGCCATGTTTGTCAAACACTCCGCCTAGTTGGCCCGGGAAAGCTGAACACTTACGAAGTCATTGAACTACAAAAAGTCCTGCAAAGCGCCTTCACAAACAAGACCCAGTTTTCTTAAGGAAGTGGAGTCTGTTTTCACTGTCACCTGTGCGAGGTGTGTTTTATGTCAGTTACTGTTATCAACAACATTCCTGGTCTAAATAGGGCAGACACACTTCGCGGTTCGACTACCAGCTTAGACGGATTTAATAGCCTTGACTTATAAAAGAAACATGTGTTTTTGCTTGGAGAGTCCAACATGTCCCTCCCACGGTTATGCAGTCATAGTGTTTGCCCAGGTCGCTGAAATTCTCATTAGTTAACAGTGGAGCCAGTTGTAGGTTTGTATTGATGGCTATCATAGCTGACTGTTACAAAAGCTCGTGTCTGCTTTACCAATAAAATCATTTGCTTGCTCCTGTGTCGCTTGGATGTAAGGTTAGTCCAACATGGTGCAAACAACCTCTTACGTTGCCTAGCGATCAGTAGTACAACTGCACCTCCTCTCACCAGAAACACCCCCGCAACCATATCTACATTTTACATCTGTTCTGCGCGGCATAATGTTGGAACACCAGTATAGCACAGGACAGTTTACTTTGACCATATTTTTTTCGGAATACAAGAAGATCGTACGTGTTTTTTTAAACTGACAATATCGGGTATCTCATATTTAAACTCAGCACAGATGATCTGTCGAAAGTTTTCCTGGAGATGACCCTTGGACAAGACACTACTTCTCTGTGAATGACTGCTGGTTTGTGTAATTGAAGATCTACTTTGTTATTGTAAGAGAAACCAGAGACCTGTACAGTTGGACGTACATGTAGGGCTGTTCATGTCACTTATGATATACGTGAATATTTTCAAAGACGGTAAACGTTTATATCATTCATCACACATGTTTGCATATTGACTTTTCAAAGCCATACGGACATGCTTGAATATTACTCCTGAAAGGTTTGGTTTATATGGGTCAAGCGTCGGCCCGTATCTACCAACATTCTTCACGCCATGGAACCTTTAACATCCGCAAGCGTGTCCTTCCTGTCGGCTAGTGGTACCAACTGAACTGTTTCCTGTCAGTCAAGCAGGTCGCTGGACAGCTTTGTACCACCTGCACCAGCTGTCAATCATCCGCTGTTAGGGGGAGGAGTTTTAGAAGCCAGGTACTTACTTCTTTGTCGTGGTTAAGACAACAGTCTTTCGAAGGACGTTAAGACGATAACGTGGGACAGAGATAATCCACGACTTTATAGTTCAGCTTTACAACGAGAGAAGATAAAGTGTAAAGTGATCAGAGACTTTTCCCGTGAAAGAAAACCTGTCACAGGACAGGTGATATGGAGTAACGGTACTACAGGCGCAGTGTACCGTGGCAGAGACAGGTACTGTTCCTGGATTTTTGTCTTGCTTTAAGTCTTGGTTGACTTAACGCTATGTACATAGCCCAGCTCTCGGTACATGCAACGTTACAACATATATGTTTTCCAGTCTAGAATTATAGATAAGAAGGTCAACTTTGCAGATGCCATTGTAGAGTGCCCTATATTACAGCACCTGGGCTGCGCAAGAGAGGAGTACATTGTGTAAGTACATAGCTCTTCATTTCTAAAGCTATATGTAGAAATCCTTGGCTAGCGTTGAAAATTTGTCCCTCTAATTACATGTTCCGTTAGTTTGGAGCATGAGAGGACCCACTGTCAGTAAGATTAAGGCTCACGTTGCATTGCAAAGCAGGATAAATATTGTGCACTGCATTTTGAGTTACAGTTAGCATTCTCATGGTTTTGTCGAACTTCCCTTCTAATGATAGTCTTGGCCTACTGAGAGGTTGATTTGGATTTACAGTTTTCTGACAGCCAATCTTTAGTGGCCTATGAGATAGTGCCTTGCCTATCGGATGATGTCTTGCCGGTTGGTTACGACTTTGCCAGCTGAAGATGGGCTTGGAGATTACATGTTTGTGATGCCGAGTAGACTATACAGAAGTTCGTTCTGATGGTTACTGTTATTGCCCAATAATGTTTGCTCTCGTAAGGCTGTTAGCATCAGCTCACTTGCCTTTGCCCTTTCTATGAATATATTGGGGGATATAAATACTGTTATACTATAAATTCAATCGCTTTTCATTCAAAGGATGTTGACCAGCAAGAAATAACACAGAGACATTTGATGGATAAGATACTGATAAACTTTATTGTACAATAATTGTGCGACGTATGTAATCTTTTGCTACATAGCAACGACCATGCTATGAGACTGATCTACAGTATAAAACACTCTGGAGTGTGGGAAGAGAATGTACAATTATTGGTTGAATTTCTAGCAATTAGGTAGAACCGTTGTCCTACATGTAAATGTTCCATACAGGGGTTGTTACGTGTCAGTATATAACTGGAATCTGCTAAATCCTGGTATTGAAGATGATAGACTTTCATATACTAGTATAGTGAATAACACATATGAAAATATATGTAAACTACAATCAAAAAGTGATATTGGTCTTTTATAAGTTCTGGATAAAATGGACAAACCCTCTGGTCACATGGAATCTCTCGGTTTCTAGTTTGTCACTGCCAATCCTGAGCTCTGTAATTACTCTAACCACTACTCTTTATATTTGAAAGATAGTTTCCTTGCGTACAATGATGAACCAAACAGTACAGAAATGGTATAGAAGAGAGAAACTGGCATGCTCTAGGTTACATGATATTAGTTTATACAAAATTTAAACAGTTGTTCCTGGCTATCGTCCAGTACAATAAGTACAAACTAAGCCAATGCTTCTGGCACTACATACATAAATCCGAATGTAGGTCGCCAAATCCACAGCCCTTTGTCGTGACTGCTTGATGTGTTTTCTTTTCACATTCTTCTATTTTTCTCTGGCCATATCATGTTGCATTATCTATAAGCCATTTGAAAATAAAATCCCCTAACGGAAATATGCGCCGGACACACCATACTATCAGTACAAAGAACAAGTTAATACCCTTTTCAATAAGTTCATTCTTATCGTGAGATCTTGTCGTTTTAGGTGAATAAAATGATACCTAAAAGACGTGTCAAACCAATCAGGAGAGTTTGTATAGTCATTTATATTTGGTACCTTAATTAGGCCATAGTTCCTTCGATACAGTTCAGGCGGTCTGTTTGCGCATGTCTGGTGTTAAACCATTCATCACGGGTCGGCAAACAACCGACTGATTGTTGAACAGACTTTAATTTGTCCTGTCAGACGTCGTGTAGATTCTAACAGTACTTCAGGGGACCATAAAGGTTGTAATTGTCTGTGTGTCTGCGCTGTGGTGCGCCCGTGTCCTCGGACGGGTTGTATATTTGCAGAAGAAAGACCGGGTGGCGACGATCTGGAAAGTAAATTTGTCGACCTGTATGAAGTGTTACTCGTTGCCTAGTTTTAGCAGTTGATGTCGGTAAACTATTCAGCACCGTGCGGACATTAGAACTGTGTCAACAGCGCTAATCTTGCACAAACGATCATTCTGCTGAAAAGAACACGTTTAGAAGAAATACATGTTAATGCTCAAAAGAAAGGGAAGCCATTAATAATATCGTTTAATTTCTACCTTAACACGTTCTATTGACACTTAACAAGGCAGTTTTGTCCAAGGTAGCCACGCTTTTCTTGATATTGCAAACGCAGCTAGAGAATACATCAAAGCTCATCAAATCATCAAAGTTCCAGCACTGAGGATTTCTTTGTTTCTGGACGGTATGCTACGACTATAGGTATATGTAAATTTTTCCATATAGGGAAACAATTGAATTTTTCACATATTTAAGACCTTCAAAATATTTTGGTTACAAGATATATACAGGATGTGTACGTGTGTTAGGTAATTGTTTCGGCAACAAGTGACGTTCACCTATGTTTACACTATATGGTGTAATCTTCCTGTTAATGATCTCTGTTGCCTAGCGTCTCTCAACCAGGCGCCACAACAAGCAAACCTGTGCCTCTTGCCATATGTACATATTAACCATGAGTATATAAGAGTGAATCAGTTCTCTGTTCATTTGTGACGCTGAAGAAGAGTGATGGATGTCACTCGAAACGTCCGGAAATAAATCCGTTAACTGATCCAGTAGTAGAGTTTGAATTTTCTTACGAGTATCGTTTACCTGGATGTCTAACCTTCATCAACGTATATTAACCATGATTAACAAGACCGAGCGATGTTCATCTTGTTTGCCAAATATTTCGGTGTCGCGCGAGAAAATTATTCGTGACCTCAGAGTAACGATAAGAGAAAAGGTATAACTAAGGGGTCCCGCCCTGGTGCCTGATTAGAATCTGGTATTGCCAAAGCATTTCTTAGCGTAGAAACGGCAGGTTTTATATGATTGTGACGTGCCTAAACTTTGTAAAGGGTCAATCTATCACTTCAGTGTACAGCTGGCAGTTTTACAGCAATACCCTTTGACAGTTTATCCTTGACATACAGCTTTCATCAGCAGATACGTGTTGACAGCACAGATACGTGTTGACAGCATGATCTACTGCTGCCAGGGACAACTCAAGGCCTTCTTTGTAATGTCAAATAATATTTTACTGAGGGCCCGGTCACGTGCGTCGTACGATCGTCATACGATCGCAAACTGAGGACAATCTTGGAATAGCCATACGTATCGTACAAATTCAGCTGTTTTGTTGTGAGAAAGGCTTTACAGATGCTTGCAATTTGGCGTCGATTTGTTTCATCACAGCGTAATTGAAAATCGACCTACGACGAATTCAACGGGACTACCTCTTTGTTTTAGAATAGCTGCAGGATCGAAAGACAATCTGCATGAAGTTTATAAACTGCCTACAGTAATGTATAATGTTATATGATAACTTCAACAGTGCCAATGATCATAAGGGAACAATGATAAAAAGATACCGAACATCACCATCATCATCATTATGAAAAATGTGTCACGTTTAGCTGTTATGGTGATGAATATGATTGATGACATTATTACAACTTCTATTTTTCAGGCCCAGGCAACAAAACTGGTCAACCGATGATATGGCCTTATGATATTCTGCTGCATGTTTGTGCCATGTACACCATATCATAGCGGGAGGAGACACGAACTGAATCAACATGGTCCAGTTATAGGTGTTATAGCTTAGCAATGTCGGTGATGTAACAACAACAGCAACGAGCACTGGATGGCATTCACAAGGATAGGGACTAAAAAATGTGCAATCAGTTCGAGAAAGCCCCTGCCAACATGGCGGACACGACTTGTGTACGGGTCCTGCTGGAAGCGGAACCTTCCCGGGACGTGGTCTGCTTCTGTTCGGACCTGCGAGCTCGCAGTGACGCCAATGTGGTCGCGGGGTGGGCTCTAACCCCGCACGAGAGGAAAAAACAACCACAGACATCGGCGGGAAAACTCAACAAGCAGTACAGGCAGCCACCAAACAACTTGTTAAACAGAAGAAAGGGCAGCGCGACTCCAGAGAAGTACGTCTTTCAACATTTTGACGACGTGGGGTCGTACATGAGAGATTACCGACAGAAGTACACGTGTCTGGGGAAACAGGAGCTGATGGAAAGTCCCGTCATGTCTGAGGATGGAGACTCTATCGGTGACTCTGCATCGACGATATCTAGGTAAGTCATTGAAGTATAACTATAACATGCAACACTGGGCACAGATTTCATTCCGATTCTAGTAATCAAGATACTTCAGATAAGCATATTTCTATGGTATGATTATATTGTTTCTTCAATCTTTATGGACTACTCTGTAACATATTTTCTTCTGGCGCGGTCACATTCGTCGAGCATGAAGCTTAAGGTCGTCGTATGATTCTGATTTCCCATCAGGCCCACAGTGATGTACACAGGTGACCAGGTCCTTTGCAGTAACTAGTTTCGTGCCAAGTATGACGCATCTTTCCAGACGTAAACCGATACCATAAATAAAATTCTGTTTTGTTTTCAGGGTACCAAGAGAAATGGCGGAAATTCCAGATCCTGAAATGGATCCATCTGTTCTCATGCCAACAAACGGACAACGATACAGCAGTCCGTCCAGCGAGGAGGACGCTGCTTCCATGACAGCCAGTAATAAGCCCGCGAAAGCCCATTCCATCTCCGGTGCCCGTACCAGTGACAACACCCTACAAGTTCCCGCCACGACCGGCCTCTCTAAGATCACCGTACAGACGAACAGACTCCCGGATCAACAGAGAGCAGTACAGAGACGCGGACCGAGTAGGACAAAACTCATCTCCAAACCACCTGCCGAGAAGACCACTGGTAAAGACGCCTTCTGGATTTTGTTAGTCTACTATTTTAGAAAGTTTGAGATGGATTTCATTTTCTTTTCTAAAGATCTACTGCCCTTCTATTGTTATTTATTCAGTAAAACAACGTGTTCCTCGTGTCAAGTATATCATTGAATAGATGGTCTTATTTCAATTATAGGTTCAGAAGACATCCGAAGACCCAGTTCTGCCGAGGCGGTTTTCCTCTCCCCTGCTGGCGGGTACCTGTCGGTCTCTCCGTCGTTCGGCGCTTTCCGCAAGTACCACCGAAAACAGAACTATCAACAGGTTGGAAAGGAAAGGCGCCGACTAGCGGAGATGTACGGTATTGCCAATCTGAGCTCCACAGAAGCGCAACAGTTGGAAACTCAGCAGGGACCCTGTCCGTCACCACGCCTTCTTGTGACTTGTAAAAATGCTCCTGTGGTAAAAAATGGGGCTCTAGTCGTGGACAAGGGAAGCAGCAATTTATTCACCCCTAAAATGCCCCCGTGGCCTGTAAGACCAAAATCTCAGTCATTGAAATCTGGGTTGAATAGAGCACTGGATGGTTATGTGGTGTGGGATGCAAGTGAGGGAAAATGGACAATAAATACGGCTTATGTTGCGGCCCTAATGACATATAACCAAGCCGCACCGGATGTTGGGAAGATGTTGAAACAGTACATGTCATTGAGTGGATCTGGCAAAAAAGGACCTGCATGACTCTGACATGATTTCTATTGTATTGTAACAAAAATACTATCAGAAATGATTACATCTTGTATTGATACTGTACAAGCCACCTCTGTTTCAGTAAGAAAGGAATTAACAAGATATTGCTGCTATACCATTGTCATGATTGCAGAGATGATTTTCAGAGAGTAAAGCTTTCACCTGACAAAAATTTTGTGACAAAGACTGCCTGACTCTTATCTCCTATACTCATGGTAAGGTTTTATCACTGTGTACCTCATACAGGCAGTATACTTATTCTTCCATGATGTACATTCTCCTGTTTTAGTATCTTTTTCTCATATTCATACACAAAATACTTATAGGAATCATAAAAGTATGTAGAACAAAAAGGAAAAAAATATAATCACAATTTACAAACTCATTAATACTGGCAAAAATCATTAAAAAAACAAAATGAATAATTCAAATCGATTTGAACAATCTATAGCACATCATTGTGTATCTGCACCTCTCTTAGACACTAGCATGTTCATTGGATATGTCTGGTTGGACTTGTTGTTCTGGAGACTGCTGGGTAACCTGTACATCATCAGACGGTCTGGTATCAGGAGATCCTTCCAACTCATTACCTGTAGGAGACAATATGGTCTTCATTTAGCTTTATTATCAATTATGGCAGCAGTTTAAGTGATGAAAAGAAATGTGTCTAAGTAAATGAGATACTAAACACAAACAATTTCCAATTAACATTACCTTAGTTCATAATATGTATTAATACTTTTAAGTACTTAAAAAACATACAATGTATACATGCACATGCACTGTATTACATGTAGTGTCACACATTCATGCACACTAAGAATACAAACTGTTTACAGTCAGTAATAGTGTTACATGCAATAAGGCCATGCCGATTTAATTTCTTAGTTCTGCTGCTGCATGCTCCATTTTCTGATTTGCAAAAAAAAGCAAAAACATTTGTACCACTTATGTACTAATGAATCAACCCCATCCAAAACTGCATTTTGACTCCAACAGTTGAAGTAAGTCCTTATCTTTATAGCTGTTGCACTTTATCCAATTATCACTGCATCTGGCTTTGATTGTACTAAAAGCTGAAAATTAATTGTTTGAATTGTACACCAGCTCAGTACATATATATTGCATGTATTGCATGTATGGTAGCAATTAGGCCTATTACAGGATGATCAAGCGTGCTGTATTTACTGTGCATAGTTGCCTTGCCTCAGCCTGCTGTATTGCTTTCCTGCCAAAATCTGAGAACCAACAAATCAAATTGGTGTGGCCTAAAAGAGGAATCAGTTCGGGATCTGGATTGTGACAGAGCTTTCTAGGTGAAACCAGGAAACAAAGAAATGGAATTTGCTTGTGCCAAATCCACATCAGTCACCTCACAACGCCCTCACTTGTCGTGTAATAAAGGTCGCGTCTCGTCTGCAATCTCACCTTCCTCCTCAAGAGTGGAGTAGGACTTGGTACGCTTAATGTCCATCTCCAGCCACCTGTGGACAACAATGTGTCAACGTTATCTTTCTTCAATGACCATTAACGTTACATACCTTAGACTGAAAGATTGGCAAGTCATTGTTCATCATCTGGTATAAAGTGAAACACCATGACGAAATAGTAAAACAGGTACCCCCCCCCCACACACACACACTCTCACTACCGGGGTATCCAGTTTACATGATGCTGTATGAATTCTTATAGAACATGCCTATTTACCACACATCATCATATGTATAGCTGCACAGCATGCCACAGGTCATTAAAGACAATGTACCTGCTAAAGAGTATGACACACAAGCTGAAGACAAACCTATAGAATACAATTCCTGCGAAAATGTTCTGTGTAAAACAGACTAACATGCCGGCTCCAGGATTCTATATGCAATATCTAGATTCCACTTACTGTAGTATGCCTAAAGGAATGATAAGAGATCCAGCCATCAGTAGGAAGCAGAAGCCTGGGAAGAAGCTGAGCGTGGCGGGATACAAATTGTTGAACAGTACACTGGCCAGGAGCTGACTCATCACCTCAATTGATGACACCACAGAGAATAGTGCACCTGTATTTCAATCATATCAATCAATGAATGTTATGTAATGTACAATGCCTTGATATATCTATGAGTCTGATAGTGTCTTCTGTAATATACATTATAGCAGTATGTAAATAAGGACATACCTTTCTCTGTGAGTTCCACTTCTTTTGACAAGAGGGACCTTAAAGAAGCAGCACCAAACCCAGAAAACATTCCCATTACAGAACCTGAAAAGAAAGCACATCATAAGCTCTTATTCCATAACTACTATTTTAGTTACTGATAACAAGCAAAGGTTATGACAGGTTATGTGTCATGCCAAGTACTGATGAACATTGAAAGTTGAATGGCAGGTCTTGAAATACCACCTGTTTATGCGAGTTAGTACACTGCAGCAGGTATTTCGAATCTGATGTCTACCTTGTTGTGAAACAAACCTTACCTAGGAAAAGCATCCAAACAGTTGTGGTGAAGGCTACTGTGATGTTGCTGGCAGCCCTGGATAGCATGCCCACCTGTCCCAGCTTAGTGTCACCCAGGAAACGTGACATCAGAGGTAGGAACACTGACAGACCTACAAACTATACATGGCAATAATAAGGGACAGGATTAGTTGAATGGTTTCTGTCCACCTTAAGGGCCGATCAAAAACTGAGGGCATCCTTGGGACAATATTGTGCATGCGTCTTGCAAAATTCAAATGTCTTGTTACGGAAAAGGTTACCATAGATCTGTCAGCAGTTATTCCTGTCACAGCCTGCCAGAAAATTTGACGATTTCAAATTGCACTGCCACAATGACCCATAACAAACGTGATGGTGTTGTTTCCACATAAATCATTAGATGTAAAATGGCTTGTACATTTTCAGCTGTTAGCTGTTTCTTGTTATCATTATGAACTTTGTTACAGAGTGATGCTGTAAGTAACATCACTCACCGCCAGGACTCCCGTGACAGCCAGGAAGGTCCCATACAGGGTGCTGGTCCACTTGGAACCCAGCTGGTACTTCACAAACAGGAACCCGATGTCACTCCAGCCTGAACATGAGTTCAACAAACTTGCCATTACTGGCTAAATCATAATAGTAACAGCATTACATATACTACTCATTTAGACAAAGGCAGGACATGAATATAGAAAAAAATTGGGTAATTCCAATTTCTGTGTCTGTGTTTAACTTGAAGACAAACTGGGTGGTCTATTCAAAATTTTACTTTTCACGAGTATACAGCATTGAAAAACTTCAATGCCTGCATGGTACAATGTACATCTCATATTTAGTTAAGTTGTAGAAGACCATACAAAAGTCTCTGTACTTTTTTGTTGTGTCAATAAAGAATCTCTCATACAATTATTGTACATTGTACACGTAATGTTTACTTTACGTTAATAATATATATAAATGATTAAAAGCAGATATGAGGAGCAACATGACTCATTTTGTTACAAACCTATGTAACTATACATGTTCAACCAGAAAATCTGCTTCATCATTAAATTTCCCTGACCAGATAGATAGAAAGACTTACCCATAAATATCATGATGCTTATGAAGAAAGCGATGAGCAGCAGAATGATGTGAAGTCGTCCTCTTTTCTCCCTCGGCTTGCAGATGACTCTCCCCCATCTCTTCACATTCTCAATGTTGACCAGCGCAGTTATCTTACCCCCTGCAGAGTCGTCATCCTCTTCCTGGACACTTCCCGTGTTTTTCTGTACTGTTTCTTTCAGCCAAAACACAATGTAGACTATTGAGACAGCATTCAAGACGAGGTAGAGGATGAACACAGACATGAAGCCGAGTTCGTCCACCATGACTCCACCGAGGGCTGATCCGATGGTTGCCCCCAAACCTGTCATTGCCTCCAGGATGCCGATCCTCCATGTGCGTGTGTTGTTGTCTGTGATATCTGTGATGTATGTGTAGGTTGTCATCAGCACACAGGCATAGCCTCCTGTCAGCCCTGCCACGATGGATCCGATGAAGAGGTAAGGTAGGGCAGCGTAGATGTACGTCGACTGAATGATGAGGTTTGTAGCACTAATCAAGGCTCCGACGGACGGCATGACCATGGCAGTTTTACGTCCGAACCTGTCCGTCCACGATCCGAGGAAGAACAAGACCAGCACTGACGGGATGACATTGGCGACATTCAGGTACAAGAGATACTGAGATGCCGTTGTCTCCACAAACTTCTCCTCTGTTTTATGCCCACTAAGGTTACTGCAGAGGTTGGTATTATTGTATTTCTGGATGCAGATTTTCTGGTAGACCAGCTGCTGCAGTATTGGGGACTGCAGGAATGCACCAGTCATGTATAACAGCATCACTGGCTCTACTGTCAGGTACTTCCGCAGCCAGGCAAACACATCCGACACTGCCATTGTCCTCCTGGATGTAAACTGAGCGTACTTCTAAAATAGATAAAAGTAATATAAACTAAAATCAAGCCATGGCCGACTTTATTACAAGAAAATAAAACTGCATCTTTGTGATTATTTTTTAATTCATTTTCCTGAAACAGGCTTGGCAGCGGATCCGGAGTGGGTACCGTGGTGGATGATAGCCCACTCCTGAAATATTACGTGGCTGGTTATCTCCTCACTACTAAGTAAGACTACGGGTCAGCACACACAGTGCTGACAGACGCTGCCTCAAGGCACAGTCAGCACTGAAAGTGTAGTGGTGACGACCACTTCCGCTGTAGTGTTCCAGCGCTGAGAAAGGAATGCGTGACTTTTGTATATTTACTAGTAGGCCCCTGCCCTTTAAGGTCTCATTCATGTATTACTCCGAGTGTACCCCCTAAAAGAGTGCCAAGTCAAAAACTAAGCGGCTGTATGAACGCGTGTTTTTATTGGTGAGAATTTTTCCTTTTAGCCATCCCAACTGATGTAAAACGTCAAAGCGGTGAAAGCTTGTTTGTAACTGATGAAATTAGGACGTAATTGTCGGCAGCCGCGCGCTAGGTCGGACGTGCACAGTCCAGTGTTGTGAGTTGTGCGGTCGTAGGTTTGCACCGTGGGAGGGCCTCTTGCGGGCAGCCACTAGGTGCAGTTTGTATTTCCCATAAAAGGGGATTGTGTGTATAGAAGTCGTTGGCAATTTTTTTATGAGATGTAGAGTATGTGTGCTCAACATAGCATGAAAGATATCGATTGATTTAATGTAGGATCATAGGGAACACGGTCTCGTAAGTCACTCATTAATGCATGGTTTCTAATGTATGGAAAAAACTCATGAATGAGACCTTAATGTGTATAACATTGTAAACACACAGCATCGTTGACCAGTGCTCACGTGAGACTGACTCACGTAGACTTGGGTCGAATCAATACACTGTGTAAGCAGTGGTGTGGTTTAGGGTGGTACAGTTTGTGAGCTGTGAACCCAGAGAGAGATAAGTATTGTCAATATGAGCTTAGCTGCGTACGTGCTACTCGACATGCCGCCAAGTTAACGCGTACGGGGCCGGGCTGGGGCCGGACGTTACACAGTGGTACCGCGTACCGCGAAAATCTATTAGGCCATGTTGATTTGATTATACGGATGATGTGAGCGTGCGAAAAAAAGAACTTTGGCAAGAAAAAATTGCTTCCATTATGAAAGATACGTGGTCATGAAGGTTGAGCAAATGGCACATGTCATTTTCGTCTTTTTCGTTTGTCGTTCTACGACATTGGTATAGTTTTCCAATATTCTTTTTGCAACCTACGGCATATATTTGCTCGTTTTTTAACTATTTTGTACCATTTACAGTATGGTTGAAAACTTTTTTTTTGGAAACGTGATTTTATGCGAAAATTCGCATGCGCGCGCCGACGTCATCCATACAATCAAATCTACATGGCCTTAGGTACAGGTCTAAAATACCGAATCACTAATATAAGTACCGATTCTGTACCGATTTGAAATTACACTATAGCTACCTAAGTGGCCGTAAAAAATCATTTATATAATTTTGTGTAGCTTGTCAGATTGTTTATGTACAGGTACAGGCCCGGACCAAAACCTCTGTACCTCGGGACTTGTACCTGTACCAAAGGTTACGTTCAGGCACGCAGCCCGTAACACAACAAATTCGCAAAGTCAGCCGCATACCGGTAAGCGTACATACTGCGATGCATGGCAGAAAAGGCAATTTTTTCCTAAGATTTTGTATGGCTTTTCTAGCTATCGCGTCCTGCCGCTATCACATTTGCTTTTCTGCGTCTACGTTTCTATACGAATCAAATTGCATTTGAGTTAACTTTGGGTCAAATGTCACAGACAACCACGCCCGACCTGCTTGCAACCACCTGCCAACCATGACCGAACCTCCTGCCAACACCAGAATGTTTGAAATATTTTGAAACATTCGTCTAGCTAGCGCAGCCGATCAGTAGCCGACCACCAGCCGACCTTGCAGCCGACCTGCTCATGGTTGGGTTGAGTTCGGCTGGTGTTCGTGAGGCCATATTGGGCTATGTGTGACATGCAGCAGGGTCTTTACTCCAATTTGTACTGCCCGGTACCAAGGACATTATCTGTGTATAATGTCCTTGCCGGTACTTAGTCTTTTGTGTGATAACTTTGTAGTTGCAATGTTTACATGTGGCATTATTTGCATACCTGTGATATAAAGGTTATCACGTCGACGAGGATATTTGCGTTCGCGGTGCTGATGCAATAGGCCTGCCAAGTTGCCACGCACAGGTCAAGGATACTTAGGACAATTTTTGTCACATTGAAAGTTCCCATACGTGCGATCAACGGCAACCATTGGATCCCTAAACCGCTTTTTTAAAACACGTCAACTTTACATACAATTTAAGAATATCTTAATCATTATTTAAGACACAAGTGCTTAAAGGCTACGTGTGAAAACCGGAAAATAAGGATCCATCCTCACCTACGGAAAGACCATGTAACGACGATCTTTACATACTCGTATAAGCCGTGTATAGATGCGTAAAGATGGAATATACGTTGCCTTTAAACATAGTTAAAGCATCCGTAAATACCGTTTTTCGTGCCGTGGAGGTTGTTAGAACGATAGCCCGGTTGCCATCCGGTTTGCACCCGGGTACGTTCGCCCGCCTTTTCGGGAGAGAGAGTGCAAGGAGCTCCGTTACATATCGGATAGTACCCAGGCTTAGTTAGAACAAAACGCTCCTGAAACTTGACTGGAAAGCACACGGTAACTAGTAATGTGTTTACCGACTATGTGAAATCTAAATTTCTTGTTGATATCTAACGAAACTTATCTCGACCATTTTCCATCGTGTACATTACTGTGGCACATCCCTGTTACCATATTACAAATGAAGAGTGCCAAGTCAAAAACTAAGCGGCTGTATGAACGCGTGTTTTTATTGGTGAGAATTTCCCTTTTAGCCATCCCAACTGATGTAAAACGTCAAAGCGGTGAAAGCTTGTTTGTAACTGATGAAATTAGGACGTAATTGTCGGCAGCCGCGCGCTAGGTCGGACGTGCACAGTCCAGTGTTGTGAGTTGTGCGGTCGTAGGTTTGCACCGTGGGAGGGCCTCTTGCGGGCAGCCACTAGGTGCAGTTTGTATTTCCCATAAAAGGGGATTGTGTGTATAGAAGTCGTTGGCAATTTTTTTATGAGATGTAGAGTACGTGTGCTCAACATAGCATGAAAGATATCGATTGATTTAATGTAGGATCATAGGGAACACGGTCTCGTAAGTCACTCATTAATGCATGGTTTCTAATGTATGGAAAAAACTCATGAATGAGACCTTAATAATGATTAACCAATATCGAATGCACTCATCCTATCTCCTATAACAGCAGAGATATCTTGATGAGTTTTCAGCCCCAAAAAAGAAGGCCGAAATTACTTGCCTGGATTTTGTTGCGGGTTATAGTATAGTATAGAGTAGATATGTTAGCCGCGGCGACTGTTGCAGGGCTTCTCTTACTTGCAGTCTTTTACATAATTTAGCCCTAACAACATGTTGTTTATAGGGCTAATGTAAAAGACTGCAACTTGCAAGCAATGATGAATGGCACAAACCACTATTTCCGAACCATGTAAAGACTTACCTTACGTACTTCGCGGTTAACGTACACCTACATGTGACAGTTACCTGGCACACGGACCTATCTGAAGCTGAAGTGTGGCGCAGGGATTATGAAACATGTGATCACACTGTTCATTTCCGGAATATACTAAACCACATGGAAGGGGTATTAAATAATTTCCTTCTTTTAAAACATGTAACAGCGATTAAAACGAAATCACGACTGATAAAGAAACTGAACAGGAAATTAACACTCGACTACATGCAATATAAATCTAGTCTAAATCTGCAACGTTACACTGTTAGTGTACATTTGTTTATTGATTTAATTTATTGGTACCCCCATAACTGAATAGACGCGACCATCAACCTTTACCCTGTGACCCAGATCTAGCGTTCTCTGAGTCTAAGACATGGAGGAGGACTTCGGTGGTTTGTCTTTTGACGACTCGTTGTTCTGCGGTGGGAATGTGAGAGAAAGTCGTAGACTTGTGTCGTACAACGCCAAGATATGCGAGGAAGGAGTAAGTGTCGATGAGCACAACTTGTTGGACAATCCGCATCCAAAATTCGCAAAATTATGTGCATCATGCTGCATCCCTCTTGGAGCCCCCAACGTTCAAGCTAGCCAAACTTTGTGTCAAATTTAATGAATTCCCAACATCTAACATAATTGTTCAACAATGCCATTAACAACAACATTATTAAACTAACAAATATTAGAAATCTATGGCGG